AAAAGTTTTTTTCAAGGTAAAAGTGCTCCCCCTCCCCAGACTCAGGAAAGCGGGCCGGAAAAGATCAAACCTGTCCTGTGCCCCAAAGTACTTTGCATTTACCCCAAGAAAATTTGCTGCTTTGCCCTTCCTACAATTAAGGAAGATTCCTTTTCATCCAAACCCAAGTCAGGGAAATCAAAAAAGTATTTTCCTCTTCTCAGCAGCCACTTGTACCTTTGAAACACAGGATTTTTCCAGGAAACTGCCAGGATTGATGTGGATTTCAAAGTCTGTAGGGGCACAACCTCTGCTCTTCACAACCTGGTGTGCTCTGACACAGCAGACAGAACTCCCACCAAGCAAAGGCACAAGGCATTCTGCTGTCCTCTAAACACCAACCCAGCCACTTCTGCAGGGCCAGAAGCTCTTGGCAGGGGACACTAATGACCACTGTTCCACAGGCCCTTATCAGCTGTGCAGCTCTGCAGCAGCTCTGCCTGGTGTGGCACAGCCCCTGCCCCACCCGCAGCCAGGCAAACATCCGAGCAGGAATCATAAAGCCACCTTCACCTTCCTATAAAGCCCATCAGCTGTCCCCAGCTGCCTCCCTCTGCCCAGACAGCCTCAGAACAAGACCTCAGCACAATGCTGAGATTTACAGTCATGGGCACAAGAGCTGGACCGTGTGGCAGAGGAACTGCAGTCTTAGGTGTGCACACTGGGGACCAGCCAAGGCTTTCCAGGCTGAGGAGGAGAGCCAGCCTAACCCTAAATCCTATCACATCCACCACACCCCATATTTCCTTTGGCAGAGGGAAGGCCCAAAGGTTCCACTCTGGGAGCAAAGGGCTGCCCGGAAAGCCCCAGCTGTCCTCACGTCTCAGAAAAATAACCTGCAGCCACCTGGGGAAGAGGCTGGAGCCGCTCCCAGGGCAGTCACTTGTGCCCCTCAGCTAAGCCCTGGCATGCACCAGAGGGAAGGCAGTCTCCATCCATCCCATCAAGAGATGCCCATTAGCAGTGTGTCCCCTACCAGCAGGGCTCTCCCTCACCACCGGCTCAGGGATGCCTTTGCTCAGCTGCTTCCTACAAGGGTTACTGGCTAACAGGATAAGGTATCAGCTGGTACCAAAGCTAATCCTGGTATCTTTTCACACCACAGGATTCAGTCCCATGATTGATTGCAGACCATCAAGTCCAGTTTTACCACTAAACCAAGCTTTAAGTTATAAAGCTGGTTCAGAGGGCCATGCTTTAAAAATAAAACCAACACACTCAAATACCCAATTATGATCCAAGTCTGTATTTTATATAAATTCTGAGTTTTTAAAATACCACAAATAGATAAAATATCAGACTAAGCAGGGATGAATCCATTTTACAGTGGTCAAAATCAGCAACAAGCATCATCACATTGGGATTTCATATTTTTAATGTATTTACAGAACTGGTCTGTCTTGAAATCATTTTTTCATTGAAAAACTAGTTTTATAAGAAAATGTCCAGTTTTACAGATTCCAAGAGACACCCATCCTTAATGGAGCTGGGAGGTTTTTGACATGACAAAATAGCAAACATCTGCTCTGCCCATGTTTTGGGTCAGATGCTCAAGATTGCTATCACAAACCACCTCAATAAAAAGGTTTATCGGACAGTTCCATGTATTCAGCTGGAAACAAAAAGCCCCAATGTTCATCAAAATCAAATGCAACCAAACAGTCAATACCTCATGTCACCTGAGGAATGGAGGGAGATGGGGTCTGTCAACTGCACTGCTTTGCAGACAGCCCCATTTCATCAGTGGCTGCTTAAACAATGCGCTGCTTGCTTCCTCCATCAGCTCCCAGCCTCAATGGGATTTAACTGGGAGCTACCCTGCACAGAGGTCAGCTCAACAGAAACTATTATCCTGCATGTATTGTGTGCATTCATGTCTCAGAAAGAACTTCTCTCAAATTCTACTCCGCTGACCCACTGCAGAGTATCACACAAAGAGCAGTAAAGACAAGGGCCTTTCCTACTCCTGTACGGCAATCCAGCAGGCTCTGGCTCAGAGTTCATTACACTGATCAACACAAGTTTGAGTTTTTTTCTGAACAAAGACTGCAATAAACTGTCTACCAGAACCCTAAGAAATGTAAGCCAGAAACATCTTGAAGCATCCATCCTAAAGAAACGGGAAACTCCACGTCTCGCAAGCAGCACTTGTGAAATCTCCATACTCAGTTGTCTCCAGCAAGACCAGTCCAACTCAACCAAGAAACCAGAAGTGCTCTCACAAAACAAGAAAAAGATGCTCATGATGTATTTGAGCCTGAAGGAGTTTTGAACACATATTTCAAGTGGAAAGTGAGGCAGGACAGTGACAAAAAACAAGGTAAGAGCAGTTGTGGAAATGCCACAATCTTTCATCTGCTGCTCCTCTAAGGCACAACCAGACATTGGTACCATGCAGCCACTGTCAGCCAGAAGCCCTTGGCCAGGCTGATCTGGTGGTTCCCATGCTCATGGCACCAGTGGTCCTCATCCTTCTTGGACCCAGGACTGCAACACCAAGCTTCAGCGACTTCCTCCAGTGCTGCCTCCCAGCAACATGACTACATTCAAGAACAGCTGCTCCCTAGCTGACTGGGGAGCTGGAGAGGCCAAAAGCCACTAGCAAGAAGCTGAGGCACAATGGCGATGAGTGCCATAAATACCAAGATAAACTCTATAGCTTAACAGCACAAGGATGATGGTGCCAGAAGCCAAACATGACCTCTCCTGGCAGGCAATGCAGGCTGAATTTAGGCACCTGGCTCAAAGAGAGCTGCAAGACACCCAGTTCAGGTCTATGCCTCTCCTGGCATCCCACCATGCCAGTACATGGAACAGCAGGTGATCCCATCAGTGCATCCCTGGGACAGGCTCCAGTGGGTACATGGCACGGCACTGACCCCAGAGACGGCACAGCCAAACTCCAGCGCTCAGCGTCGGGTGCTGCTGCTCCCCCACGCCCAGACAGGCAGCCCAGCGCTGTGCACCCCTGCTATGAGCGCTCCTCATGAGCCCATCTGTGCACACACCACCTCCCACTGCTCGCAGCACAAAGCAAACACAGCTGAGGAGGGAGAGCTGCAACCTCCCAAGCTCCCAGGGTAATGCTCTTACCACAGGTTACACACTCCCCACCCTCTCACTGGCCTTAGGCAGCCCCTTTATCTCACACCACAATAGGACCAAGACCCTCACAACTCCTGGCAGATGTCAGACCTATGGCCAGAGCTCACCCCATCCTGGGAGGGAAGAAGGGCTCCGCGCCAGAAATGTCTCTAGTGAAAACGCAGGTACCAAATAAAACAAGCAAGAATGTGTAAAGTCATCACACAAGGAGGAACAGACTTCTTAAAACAGGTCAAAACTGGATCAGATCTTTTTTTACGTGGTAAGAGGAAGACTTGCCAAGAATTTCACTCCTGAGCCCAGGAGAGAAATCCAGGAGCCTCAGGAACAAACCACAGGAAAGATTAATGACTTGAAGTCTGGGAGGGGAAATTAAAAGTGTCAGAGGGGTCAGAAGAGACAGCCCTGATAAGAGCTGTTAATTGTCAGCATTTACGTCACCATCATTGGAGAGGCTATTGTATTACATTTTAGTCTCTAGGGTCAGAATTTCACATGAGGTGGTTATTTTTGCTGATCTATGTCCCTTGGTAGGTGCCTATAAGCATTGACAAAGACCAGGTAAGAGCAAGGTAGGGCTTTAGATACCCTTCTGCTTAGGAGTTTTTTGCTGGACAAAAATGGCAATAATAACCGTAACAATGAAGTAAATATCACTTCCCTTACAGTAAAGCTGCTTTCACGTCCCAAAAATGCTTTAGGAAAATGAAGCATTATTACTGTAATTGAAAGAGATTACACAGAACACTAGTAACTCATCCCCCACCCCCCGTGGGTTTAACAGCACTTGCGAGCTCTGCCCTTCCTGCAGCGGGCACCTTCCCCACGGCACCTGGGCTCCTGCAGGCAGTGGGACCCCATGGCAGGAGATCCCGTGGCAGGAGGCATTTATAAAAATTCGCAAGTCTGACCATCCTGGTCTTCTTTAAGGGCAGTAAATTCACGTAAATTCAAGTTCTGGTATATTCCACTACCCGCAGCCCTTCCTCACCTGGAGAATGCGGGCACTTCAAAAATTGTGCAATGGTGGCAGATGCCAGAGCCCAAGGCTAACAGCAGGTCGCGGATGCCTCTGTTTTGCCGCGGGATTGATGGAACGAGGAGCAATCCCTTCGTTCCCATTCCCACAGGGGAGCCCTGCAGCCAGTCTCCCCACACTGCACCCCACACAAAGCCGAGCAGGAGTCCGGGGCCCCACAGACGAGCCCGTGGCCGCCCGCAGGGCGCGGCGGGGCAGGGCCCGGCTCCCAGCCCGGCCGGGCACCTGTGGGGCAGGTGGGGACAGACAGCGAGGCAGCGAGCACCGGCGTCTTGCAGGCAAGCGCTGGGGCACAGGAGGGAAAAGCCATGTACTAAACAGCTAAAACTGTTTCGATGCAGATTTTTTGCCATTTCCTAACTAATTTCTCTTTAAGTGGAGGCAAGAAGGACTTCGAACAGAGACGGGCAGAGGCAGTAAACACACCTTAACATGGCTTCTGTAAACAAAGGCTCTTAACTATACATGGCAAGCAAAGTCAGGCAAGTATTCAGCCCACTTCGGGGAGACGGGCTCCCACAGGATGGGGCTGCCAAACCCGAACCAGGGGCTGAGGAGATTCCTACTGCCTGCAGGGTCCCCATGGACAGGCTGAGGACGGAGGTTCGGTGGGAAGCGAAGACCCCGGTCTGCTACAGGTGAAGGGGCTGAGTGTGCCACCACTGATTTCTCCGTAAACACAAAAAACCCAAACAAACTAAAAAACAAGGGGGAGAAAAAGACAACCCCACCCGCCGCCCCGGCTTTGCCGTTGTGCCACCTGCCAGCCCGAGCCGACCCCGGCCGCCCCCAGCGCCGCCCCCCGCAGCCACCCTACCCGGGAGATGGCGAGGGGCTGCTCGAAGTCGCGGCCGCCCACCAGGCGGAAGCCCCAGGGCCCGGGGCCCGAGAGCACGATGCGGTGCGTCCCCATGTGCGCGCTGCACCTCGCGGGTGGCTCCGACAGCCCCGCCGCTCCGCCCGGCCCGGCCCGGCCCGGCCCGCCCCGCCCGCCGGGCACGCCCCGCCCCGGGGCAGCAGCGCCCGCTCCGCGCCGCCTCCCCGGTCAGGCCCTGCGAGGGCGGCCGGCTGCCGGGGTCGGGAATCCCAGCGCCCCTCAGCCGCTCCCTGCTAGCGGGCAGGACAAGCCTCCGACAGGCAGCCACACGCAGGAGTGCCCCGGTGCGGCATCTCCCAGGCCAATACTCTCCAGCCTGGAGCAATGCTAACTCTGAAACCTAATGGAAGCGAGGGAAATAAGCCTGAAGTTTCCCCGCCAGGGTCGGATGAGTGAGGGTGGAGTCTGGGAAGGGTGTTACTTCTCTGCTAATTTATCCCATATTCACTGATTTAGACAGTGTTTTGTTTATCTCTAGCCCCTTAAGCAGGTACCACCAAAAAAAAAAAGGAATTCTTCTATACAAGTTTTTCCAGCCAATATTCTTGTCTGTGATTCAGGGAAAATAGTTGTTTCAGTTGCATATTAAGGCCTCAGTAATCTGATGGTGGACAAGTGGGAAAGGTTGGTCACAGCAACGGCATTGGCATTTACAATGGAGCACAAGCATTGCTGCGCTCACCCATACAGCTCACCCATAAGCACAACATCAGCGAGCTGTAGCTGAAGCTGGGATTCAGCCACAGCTGGGGAGCATGGAGCACACAGCAAGTAGGAATGATGCAGGTCACCCAGGTACTGGTCCTACAAGACAAGGCAACAAATTGTCTAATCACGAGGCACACTCTTGCTTCTGCAATCCCCTTTTGTGGTTGTGCCCTTTTTCCTGCATTAGCTTGTCTTTTCACAGGTTATTTCTTTCCAGGGTCCATGTGTCAGACTATTAATTTCATCCCTAGCAGAGAGAAGTAGTTCTTCCACTACATCATAGGTGTGGCACTCGTGACAGGGAAGAAAGTGACTGCTTTGCCTGCACACAGCAGTGTGCAGGATCTCCAGAGAGCTGTTGCACACTGCTGGGTCACCTTCCCCTCTCTGCTTGCCCAGCTTCTGAAGTCACTAGCACCTCTAGCTTCGATTAGGTTAGAGAATGAGTAAATACCAATGTTCAGCAGAGACAGATGAGTTTCTCCCTTCCCTGTCCAGGCTGCTGTAAAGCAAAGGTGAGCAGTGCTTATCAGCAAAGCCATGGTCAGGCTGCCCTTTGGCTTTTATATAAGTGACCTGTGAAACAAAAAGAGGGCTTGTGTCTGTGTGCTTTCTAAAAACATGTAAAGTAGCCTGAGGCTTTTGTTGTCGTGATAGTTTGGTTTTAGGATCAACTTGTTTACAGTTTGACTTCCTAAAATCATTGTGAGTGCAGCCACGATGTTTATCTGTCTGCCTGGCCATCCAGTCGCATCATCACAGATTTTGAATCTGTTGCGTAATTTTGGCTTAGTCTGAGATGGAGGTCTCCAAAAAGTTAAAACTCCTTGTGAAATACCAGTCTTTAGAGTGAGCACAGTCCTGCACAGGCCCCATGCAGGAGCCAAATGTGGAGCTGCAGGATGCATTTTTTTGGGTACTTGTGTGTTACCGGCCCCCAGTGAGTCCACCCAGGCAGCTCAGCTGTTGCTTTCCCCTCACTCTACTCCTTCAGGGATTTTCCCTCACACAAGGCATGCCCAGAAAGTCCCGGCTAGGTGTATTGCTGCAGGGCTGGGAGACATGACACAGTCACCACAGACCTACAAACTCCATGAGTTAATGCTGTAGCCATACCTGCCCTGTCAGGGTGCAGCTATCAGAGAGCAGTCCTAAAGCTTTTGACCCACGTCAAGGTTAAAAATGCACATGTAAGCCCAACACCAACTGACATCTGTTCGCCCACAGGTTGGCATTTTGAGTTTCTTGCCTGACTTAACTTGGGTGGTCTTTTCATCTGAGTTCACAAAGACCCTTTGTAAACCAGTGGACAGAGGGACAGAGGTGTACGCCTGACCTCCCAGGTCTGTGTGCACGCCACAGCAACTGTACCCTGACACCATGTTATGGTGGGATCTGTGTGTAATCAGCTTCTCCTCTGCCTTTACACCTTGATTTCTTTAAGCAAAAGTCACAGCCAGCCTAGAGCTCAGGAAGGACTGGCGCGTTCAAGCCAAATCAGAAGCAGGATCCTCAGGTGCAGGACAGTGGAGAAGCCCATGGCAGACACCTACATGTTGCTATGGATACAAAGCCACAGCGGGGCACTAGTACAAAAGTGCATTGCTACAGGACAACCAGAGTAGATTTTATTTAATAATTTGTACGAGGAACACAATAGTAATTCAATAATTCCATTTATTAATTGTCAAATAGTAATCCACTGCAATAAGAAACAAAAAATCAACACGAAAAGAAGTTGCAGTTTGTGTGGATATGTGTGATGTGTGTGTGTGTTTGTGCTTAACTTAAACTGGCAAGAGCAAGAACAGAAAATTAACTTTTAAATGAGTATGTTATATACAATCAATATCAACATGTTACTTTGCTGGATAGATTTATTTGGTGTTATCCAATCTTACCAACAGGCCTAAACATTGTTGCAAATAACTGGAGGGCAAACCCAAAGCAGAACAACTAACCCATAAATAAGATGCAGGATTAAAGATACCTCCTGCAGAAAATAAACAGTGGTACTTCGTGTCATATCTGAAACCCTTTCATAACAAATATTTTGTGCTAAAACTCTTTATGTGAACATACATGGAATTCCATCACTTAAATTAAAGTGGAAAAAAATCCCAACCTTTCACAACTGCCTTTTTTCCCCTCCCTTCTCTCAATGTGTTTAAATTATTTCTCTATACAAGGTAAGTACATTGTCTGTACAAAGTTAAATATACATATTTACAGTCAAACTTCTGAGACACAGAGTCTTCTCTTCCGCCGACTGAGACGGAAGACAAGCCTACTTGATTTCAAACCCAGGAGCATGGCTAGTTTATCAAAACATTGCAAGTCGTGCTAACAGTTAGTTGTAGTTTACTCTTAATAAATCTGTATAAAAGCATCAGCATAAAAATAGGCATTTTATATTATTAAATACGGCTTATGACAAAATAGCAATCTACCCTTTGCTATTTGTACGGCAATTGTAGGAAGCAGAGTCTGATAGAACTGGTTTTGTTTATGCTTTTTCTTAATAACAAAAAGTCTATCAAAAGAGTATTCATAGTGGATTTACAGGCAAACATACAGCCAAGCCATGGGGTGTTTTTTTTCCCTCAAGGAAATACAAATCTATGTAACTGGTAATAACTGCTGGGAACAGCTTTCCAAATTGATTAGACTTTTTTGTATGACTAAGAGGCAGCCAAAACGCATGTATTTATTTGACCTACCATCAACACTGTAACCAAGATGCAATGCTTGGAAAGAAGTCCCAGCATTTCATCCTGAAGCATATACTGGAAAAGGTGTGTGATCCTTTAGGGCCAGTGACAGGGCAAGAGGAGCAAAGAAAGTGAACAGCCATAGGACTCATAAATAGGATTTGCCCTCATGGATGTTCTGTTTATTGGTTCTATTCTTTGTGCAGATAAATGTCAAAGCTAGGCTGATTTCTCTTTAAAAAACAGGACTCAGTTAATTTTGCACACAATACATTCACACACACACACCCTGCACAAAAGAAAAAACCCTGCAGAGATCAGTAGTATGTTATTAAAGGGTTTGGGATTTTTGTGCATTTGCATTATGCTTTGGCTGACCTCTGGATTAAACCACTATTCCCAAACTCCTTTTCCACACTGAGCTCTGCAATTCAATTGTATCAGCTGTTCTCTGCCTTTGCTGGTCTTAAGATGCATGACATGAAGGAAAGGTTTTTTATGGAAATGGAAGGCAGAGAAAAGAGTCTTCAGCAAGGCAGAAACTGGGCAGCAAGCCTGTTTCTTGAACTCCTGTTCCTCAATTCCTGTGCCAATGACTGTGAGCAGCTGCAGGGTTGAGTACTGCCCCAAAGCACTACCCTATCTCAACACACAAACAAAACCTATACCATGTGCTTCCCTGAAGCCTTCTCAGAGGTAAGTACTCCGTACAAATTAAAATTATCATCAAAACTCTTACTGGGGAAGGGAGAGGAATACACAAAGGCAGCACTGTAAACTAGAATCTGTCTCTTCTTCAGCAAACAAATCACACCCTGACTCCATGGAAACAGGGCTACACATTCAACTCAATAGTGTACCACATAACCACATCCTCCTAACACTTCTCATCTCGTGTCTATTACATTCATAAATTGTCTGTTTCTTCACTGCTTAAAAACACCATCTGGAAAGGAATCCCACCATCCTTGTCACGATGGGATGACATTGTCATGATGTCATTTTACAGGTACAGAAGCTTCACATAATTGCCTGGGAAGGTGCCAAATTGCCTTGTTCTCCTGGATGTACCTGTTGCAAAATAAAACACAAGGAAGACACAGTAAGATGAAGACATGCAAGGAAGGCTCCAGGGTTTAAAAAGGTACAGGTGGCAACCTCTTCTGCCTGCAGGCATTAATTCCTCATACTAAATAGGAGCTCTTGTCAAAGAGTCTTTTGGTACAAACCAGATCACAAGTAGTTCTGCTACTAATCATCTTTAGTCATTCCCTTTAACAATTAATAAGGTGCTGGTGAAATCTCCTGCGCCTATAGGGTAGAAGTTAAACTCCTCTCAGTGTAAATGAGCTAATCTCCCCTAAGAAGAGATGGCAAGCCTGGATTTGAAGTGCTGAGATGGAGAACACTGTCCAGACTTGCACTTCTTGAAGGCAAAGGATTTTGCTAAACATGCACTTGAGGCTGGATTTTCAGGGACTGCAACTCCTAGCCATGTGTTGTCTTCACCCCCTGATTGCCACTTTCTGTAACTACACATGGCTCCCTCAGCTTTGGAAAAGCTATAAAAATCCAGTATTTCTTTGTTTCCTCTGTTGCTCTGTCATCTGTGTAAACAAGAAGGATCAGGATGAAGAGAGGAATGGAGATACTAAGAAGATAAAAAAGGAAGCACTAGAGACCTAGCAAGGAAAATAAAGCTCCACCACCTTGCAGCCTAATTTTAATATTCTTGGTGGGAAAAGATGGGAAATTGTGGAAAAATTGAAGTAAATTTCTTTCACCATTTTGACCCCACAAATGGAAGCAACTTCTAGACACTCTGCAAAACTGCTCTCCCAAAAAGCTCTGCTCACAGGCAAGTGTCACACTCACCCACAAACCAGCCATCATCACATTTCTCCATGACATCGACAATGTCACCGTCCCTCAGTTCCAGCTCATCATCATTCTGAGGAGTGTAGCTGTAGAGGGCTTGGTAGCTAACTCTAAAAACCAGAAAGACAGTACATGTTAGCCATTGGATTTCTTTGACATCCCCTCAGGAGATGTTCCCCTAATTCCTATTACACACTGTTGAATGCAGTCTGGACTTATGTTTGCCCTTTGACAAGTGGAAGCCAACTGCATTGAACTCGCTGATGTCAAAAGGTCATGCCTACACTTTTGTGTGGGATATGGGGAGAGCTTCTGCTCCCTTTCTGTAGTTGTCTGCACAGACAAACAACCAAAGTCTTCCAAACATGTAACACCTAGACAGCATTCAATTGCAGACACCCCACCGAGTGCAAGCCAAAACCTGGATACACTCATTCCTGGGCTAAATGAGACAGCTGTTTCCTTGCCCAGGCACATAGGCAGAGAGAGCCATAATTGACCAAATGACAGATCAAAGGACTTTAGAAAAAGTTATTGCCTACTCTACTGCACTAAGATTGCTGGATAAATCATGGCTGAGGAGGTCTGGTGGAATTAGAAACCCAAGGCTGAATCCTGCACTGATGACTTTTGTACCACAGGCACTCTGTATTCACTAGAAAGGATCCTTATGAAGTGCAAACAATCTTTGGGCAAATGTGGGGAGGCTTGGGTCCCCTGGTATGGAGCATGAAAACAGGGCTGATGTGAGATGTTCCTGCTCTGCATAAACCAAAGGCTACTTTAATAAGCCAGTTGCTGTGATCATCAGTCCCCAGCACACAGTGCAGGCTGCTATTCTCAAAACCATCAGTGTAAGGCCCCACCAAGCTTACTGGCAGCTCCACTGAACAGCTTTGAAAATCTCAGCCTGGATCTCTAAGCTACCAATTCACCTGTAGAACTGGTCAGCAATGCACCGAGTGGCATTGGTGTTGAGACTGTCACTGTACTGTGAGAAGCTAAGAACTGAGTGGAACACATTGATCCACATCATATGATCAGGTATAGCCAGTGGATATGAACTTGTTGCCAGCTTCAAGATACAGAGACACTGAGACAGCCTCTGTAATGGAGACCACATCCAGGATCATGAGGTCATAGTTTCAGGTGTTATACAGACAGAAAGAGCACAGTCTCAAACCCATTATGACAATATGTGGCTATTTTTGTTCTTTAAAGCAAAGCTGACATTTTCACATAATTCTAATTTACCTTCTGAAACACTGACAGCTCTCATACCTCCCTATCTTCACCACCAGTCAGAAATATGGGCCCTGGAAGAGATGGGAACCAAAAGAACTTACATGTCTCGTGGTGTTTGACTTCGCTCAGGGCTGGCTCCTTGCTGCTGTGCTTGAGGTTGCTGAGAAATGATGAGAGATGATTTATGGTCATTAGAGATCACCTTGTGGCGAGAGTCAAGAGGCTGAGAAATAGTACTGCAGTAATGAACAGACTTTTCTGCAATGTTTATGATTTCATTGCAAATAGCTTCCTGTGTGGTAGGCAGCATTGACATCCAAGAACACCCAAAGGACAGTCAACAGGGGGAAGGGAGGGGAAAATATAGATAAGAAGAGATGGGACATTCCAGTTGCAGCATATAAGTCCAGTAAAAAAACCAAAAACAAAAGAAGAGTTGTAGATCCAGGTAAATATCCAGGTAGTGGAGTGCAGAAGGGATCCAGATGTAAGCATGGAAAAACAGGCAAGATACAGAAGAATTTGGCATTTAGTTTGAAGATTTGTAACAAATACATTTACATATATTTTTAAAAGAAGCAGCATAAGAGGTTGCAATTAGTTATGCAGTGGCACCATTCCAAATGCTATGAAGTCAGTTCAAGAATGCAAGGTGAGGTTGGGCTGCTCCATTCATGCATTTGGCTTCATTTAACTTATACCCAGGGTCTGGCAGCACAATTAGCCCAACTTCTCATTGGCTGTGACAGTTTTTTCTAATTGTTAAATTCCCTTTCTTCTGTGGCAAACAAGCAATATATGCAAAGAGATAAATATGTATCTACTTTGCAACTAAAAATAGTGCTGGTATTTTATCTCTTACTGAGGTGTCTCTGTGAAGAGTGTCTAGGACTACACATCTGAGTTAAACAGGGGCCTTACCACATAGCTCTTTTCAGACTCTGTGAGATCTGGTCCAGCTCTCAATGAATGGTGGGAAGGCTGTGTGATCACCAAGCAAATGACAAGGAAGACATTTTAGCAGATGTTATATTGGTCAGAATTAAAAAAATGTAAATGGAGTGCAGACAACAAAAGGAAATGAACAACTCTTCCCCTCCCCACCCCAACAGCATACTTTTTGGACAGCAAGATCCTTCATTTACACTGAGACATTGAGGCTACAGTAACACAATGCTGCAAGGGAAAGCAAAACAGAAGGTAGGGCAAGGAATCAGAGTGGAAGGTTATGACACTGCTACAGCCAGAAATGGTACAATAGTATCATACTGCATTCCTATAGGGGAAAAAGAACAGGAACACAAACTTTGGAGCATCAAAATTGTAAAGCCAAAAGCATGTTGGAAGGCATCTGTTGCTGTTTTCAGAAAATTCCTCAATTACTTTGACACAGAAGAGAACAGCAACTTGCTTTCTTTAAAAAAAAAAAAAAAAACAAAAAACAAAAAAACCCCAAAATAACTCAGGTCCTCAGAAAGCACAAGCACAATGCTGTGTAGACCCAGAAAAATCACTCTACCCTGTACCAAGCAAGGATCTGAAATTTTTTATTAATTCCCACAACAAGGCAGAGCTTCAGGTCAGAGGAGGCCTTGACTGAAAAACCCAGCTCCAAACACCACCACCAGTGAAGCTGCTCACTCCGCAGTCACAGCTCTACACAGGGACCCTGTGTCCCAGGATACATAAAGGGAAATCAGTGTTTGAGGCTGGAGGTTTTATGGGGAAGGGGAAGGTGACTGAAAAAGCCATAAATATCCACAGCCTGGTTTTACACATTTTTGCATATTCAACACCCACTGAGAGCTGTGAGCAAATGCAATGTCCGAGCTATCGTGTTGTCTGCAGGGCTGCTTGGCAAAGTGGATTGAGATACAGAGCATGGCCGTGCTCTGTGATCTTTCAATACAATTTTCAAACTAAATTTCACAGGCCTCAATTTTAAGCTTTCTGTCCTCCTCTTTATTCACCTCATCAGTGCCCTCCAGTAAAAAGCTGGCTTTTTCATGGCACACTGAGAGAGCAAGAGCAGACAGTAGAGAAGTCTGTGACACCTTCAGCACAAGCATGCTGAAAGACTTGGAGAAGTGCAGGGGGATGAGCTCATTCCTCTCAAAGCTGCACTCAACCACATCTTGGACCTCTGGAGCTGTGCCCATCACTGTATTAAAGCAAACCATCTATTTTCTTGAGGACCATGACCCATTCTAGGCCAACCCAGCCCCACAGCAACTCCTTTGTAGTTAGCTCTGCTCTCTGGTGCTGGAATCTGGGATCACTTCGGTATGAAACAATGCTCTATTACCATGTCTATTTCTAGAGAAAGAAATTTAAATGTAAGTTCAATGTACTAAGTGCAGTGGAATTTGCATTCAGAGCATTTACTGTGGAGCCTGAAATCACAGGATTTCTAGAAGTCCCTCCTGCCTATCATCAGCCCTTAAAGGCAAATGAAAAAAATAGCGAATTTAAAGTTAATATTGTGCAGACCAACTGGATATAGTACATCAAATCTAATGAGACCAGAGCTAACTCAGGTGGTTAAGTAGCTGGAAAAAACAATTTTCAGGCTGAGACAGCTGTAAGAATGTCTTTGGGTGTTTTTTTTTTTTCATTCAAGAAAATGTTTCTCTGTTCATATCAATAAATTGGCTGCTGAAATTGCTCCATGAGCTCCTAAGATCACATGGTCCATTTCCCACCGATTACTTTTGACCTCCCTGTGCAGCTTTTCCTCCTAAAAGCATTAATATCTATTAATTAAATTCAATTTTTGAGAGCTAAAAAATTGACACTGCCTCTGAATGTTGCACAGTGCAGGTTTGTATTACCAGGAGGTGCGGCATCAGAACCTGGGTCACATTCCCTTTCCTGGCAGGATTCTCAGGGGGACTTCCATGAGGCAGCTGGGCAGGGGCAAAGGCCAAGCAGGAACTTCCAATTCCTGACAAGACACATAACTAAGTGTGGCCTCTGGCCTCTGCTCTAGAGATCCATGCAGCTCCTACCAAAGCACTAACTCCCAGAGCTCTGCATTGAGGTGGTGAAACACCCCAAACTCAGCAACTATGCAGTATTAGCTAAACAGGATGAAAAACAGACCAGATCAGATCCCATCATTTTGGGCTGTAAATGTACCACCCCACTAATGTAAACAAGTAACCCTGATAGCATGATCTATGTGGCTTTTTAATTTTTTTAAAAATCAGCCAATCAAACCCTACATTATTCTTTCAGGGAAGGAAGAGATTAAAGGGGGAAAAAAGTGTTATAGGTCCAAATGCTCTTCAAACATGGGTTTAGACAGTCCATGTACTATGTACAGTGGTGGTTCCCTTGTGCCAGAGGTGGCTGAGGAATCAGGAAATGTTTGGCACAGCTCCAAAGTATAAAGGACTTCCCAAAACACTGAGCCAGCCCTGTAACTGCTGAGGGTAAGCTGAAGGCCCTAAAAGTGACCAAGTATTCACAACCTGTGAGGACATCTCAACTTCTATCAGCTCAGCCACACTATGTGCTTTGTTAAGGCTAAGTGAATAAACTTAAGCATGTGCTGAAGTCTCTATTACAGACTGTGTACACAAATATGCAGTACAGTTTGTCCTAAAGCACAGCTGGCCAGTGTTTCCACTTCATATGGAGTTTGGATATCTAAAGAGTGCTACAAGTTTGCAAATTTACCAGAAAAAAAGTTCTACATTAAAAGCCTAGAAAAGCCCTAAGACAGCTTTTAAATGTTAGGCAGAAAGATGCTGGGACTGCTCAACAGTGCTCCCTCTGCTCCTACTGAAATTCATGTCATCAGTGCAACTATCCATTGCAGCTCTTGTTTATGTGTCTTCCATCCATTTCAGGCAGGAGTTAAAGAACTACATAAGGAAAGACAAAGCTAAACAGAACAGACTAATAAACACACAATTCAGACAGACAAATTGGTGTTCCCTCAGAGGAAGACACACATCAGCACTGATGCTCCCACACATGAATGAAGAACCAAGACCGGGGAGGCCTCCCCAGCCCAGGCAAAACAAAAGGAAAAACCCTGCACACACCAAGCCCAGCTCTGGTGAAAGCAAATGGAAACCTGGCTGAAGAGCTCTCACAAAGGACACTGAAAAGGCTGCAGAGTGGAGCAGCCTGACCTGAAGGCTGTCATAATCAGTGGAAAGACTCCCCGGACCCTGGATCAGAAGTGGAAGGTTGTGTCTACAGCAGAAAAAGGCTTTTCCCTTGGAAAGCAGGTACCAAATGCCTGCTGCAGGCTGAGCAGCTCTGCCTTGCACAGCAAGCACTTGGCAGAAACATTGCTGTGCTGAATTTTTGGAGCAACAGAAAACCACTGGAGGAGGTAAAAGCTTACCTTGAACATGGTGCAAAGCAAGGAACATGCTAGGGGTAGTTGGTATGTGCTGGAGAACATGGGGTCTGAACATCCACCTTATATGCTCCCCTCTCTACCAGCCAAAAGCAGGTGAAATTACCACTCTGCTGGAGTGCTCTGTACAAGTGCAAGGGAGCAGATGGATCCCAGCAACACCCCTCATGTTGCTGATACTGGAATGCTTGTCTGGCCAATCCTGCCTTCCCTAACCCACAGCTACAGTCCAGCCCCCGGGCCAAAGCCACCACACTGCTCACACACTTTTTACTTAATGTAACAGGTAAGAACAGAGTCCCTACACCAGTCCTACAACAAAGGGTCTTAAACCTGCAAATAACCCTGGGTCAGAATTTTGTAACTGGAGAGGTTATCCATAATGAGAAACAAAACTAAAATTCAAAATCATAAAATACCTCAAACACCAGGGATGGACACTAGTGGAAGGAGGAGCCAAACGTAATGTCCCATTTCCATGTCTGCTAAGTGATTTTCTCATTTGATTAAAATCAGTTGAGAGATACAGATTTTTGAAAAGCCTCCAGGGTATTACCTGAAGTTCTGCTGAAACCATCAGCCTCTGTATGGACCACACAGATAATGAGAAGCCGTTTGCACATATAATTACCACTCCTGCTCCCTAAAGAACTGTGGACCCAGAGCTGAAAACGAGGTCAAGACTACTGCTAATGTCACTGTCAGTGTCACAGTCACAATGACACTGACAGTGATTGTTTGATTGTCAAGGCATATAAAATATAAATATTGACTTGACTTTGACTACAAAGAAAGGCCACGGGGTTTTACTACAACCAGGTGGAACACCCAAAATAGAACTATATGCTAATCATCACTGGAGAGAAACATCTTTGTCTAAATGTGGCTCTTTGCTCCTGTTCCTTGCACATATATCCAGTGCAAGCACCAGCATGGCCAAGCAGATGAGAGCTCAGGAAAAAGGCCAACACAGGAAACTTCTATGGATTTTTAACATGAAGCAGAATATGTATTCTATTGGACTCAGATGTTGAAAGTGAAAGGTAAGCAGAAGGTGGTTATTCAGTAAAAAGTTGTGCAAGCTTCAAGTGGAAGAAAATGAGTAAAGGTAATAGGAAAATTTCAGGGTTTAAGCCGTCTCTCTCTCAATCTAATCAAGAAAGTAACATTGGCAACTACTTCCCACATTTATCCCGCATGACCAGCTTGCCATGTCCACTGATCAAGCTAAAGATTGCTTCCCCAATATCCATCACTAAAAACAGTCCATGCTTTGTTAATTGTGTACTTTCTGTTTCAAATATTGCCATCTTGTGGAAGCTGCCTTGCAGGACTGATGAGGCACCAGCAGATGTAAGCATTGCTCATTCCCACACTCTGGGCACCCCAGACACAGTGCTGAGGCTGAACCATGCTGCACAGACCCTGCTCCCCCCTCTTTAAAAACGTTTGTAGCTCTCAGCAATAGAGCTTAGAACCTCTGAATCCCACCTGAGAAGACCAGAGCAGGCCCCTGGCATTGTGTATGCCTTATCCACAGCTCTGAGATGCTCAAATCCTGATCATGGCTTGAATCCTAATCTCAGGTGGTTAAACAATACCTGAACCAAATTTTCTTCTGCTACACCATTCCTACTAAGAAGGTCACCAATGCTGCCATACAATGCAATCAAGCCGTAAGAGCTCAAGGTCAGAACTAAGTAAGCCCTGAGTTAATTTTTTGGAGGAACCAATAAACAGATCCTCAGCTGGTACAAACAAGCAGAAACCTAGACTTGATCTATGTAGATATGCAGCAGCTGAAGATTTTGCCCTTACCTGCCCTTCTGCACAACCTGGAAGTAATTTTCCTCTTTTTAAAATAAAAAGTCTAACTTAGAGGAAAATTATCTCACCTGTGTAATCAATGAGTCACTAAATAAGCATATGACAAAACAATGGCATGGCATGGAAACAACCGTAAGTGATGGAAGATTAATCAGCAAAGATGATTACCTGTGGCTTATTGACTCTGCGTGTAAGTCTGGGAGGTGGCTGTGTTGTGACAGTAGAGGAAGAGAGGGTAGAGGAAGAGAGAGGAGCAGATGAAGAGAATACTTTTGAGTCTGCAGTCTTTTGAAGAAAAGAAAAATTGGTCAGCTTGGCACATACCCTCTTATCACAACCACTGCTAGTGATAAGAGCATCTACTATCCAGTAAATTTGAAGCAAACACAGCAACAGTAACTCCATGCAAGGACAAGTGCAGTTTCCAGTTGGTTTGTCTGAGCTGACCACCTCACTCTCTTTTACACATGCAGGTTAAGTCTAAAAAATGCTACTGAAATATATCTGGATGGTAAACAGTACAGTCCTGACACAACTCCCAGTAGACTTCTGGTTATGATTCAAGCAGAAATCGAATTATTTGTCATAAGTTTGCCCAGTGTGAAACATGTCATCTTGGAAACCCTAGTTTCTCTTTATTTAATATTGACTAGATGGGATATGTCATGGAGGCTATTGCAGTGCATCCAAGACAGTATTTAGAATTCTATGATTTCAAATCTTCCAACCTTACACTGACTGTAAGGCTGACTGTACCCCACAATATGCCCCAAGGCAACAGAGAGTTGCAAAGTAAAGCATATATCCTATACAAAGATTGAGGGCTGAAGATATGTTGCAGAAGCTACTGGAGAAGTTCCCTCTGTGCTTCCTCTAATTGTAACATATGGCTGCATATAACTAAAAACTTTTTGGGGAAAGCATCAGTAGGTCTAATTCTCTTCTGTTGCTAGAGCCTTTAATTTCATTTTAGAAATACAAAGGTAATAACTTCCCCTTAATACATAGGTAACAATCAAAACTCCCTTAGTCATGCACATCCCAGACTATGGTTCACTAAACCGTAGGCTCCAGGATCAAGAGGGGATTCCTTCTGTGATTCTAGGAGCCAGGTTTATGTTTAAAATGTTTTTTGGTCCTTGGTTTTATGAAAAACAAACAAATTCTATAACCAAAAATGATTCACTGCACACTTTAAAATCTCTGATTAGCAAGAAAATGTCTGTATTCTGCACTGTGGGCTTGCATGATACTTTCATCTGATGCATCTGGTAATAGCCAGTGTCTGGGATAATTGCCTCTTTAGATGTGACTGACTGTATCAATCCTGTGTTATCTATTCTAAAATAATTTTCTCTACACTGCTCTTGAGCCCTCTTCCCAAACTTTTTGATCTGCTATAAGTAAATGCTACTGGTGACCCCTGAAAAAAATGTCTTAAGAGCATCAAAATGACATGTGGCAACCACTGGCTCTGCTTTGCCTGCAGAGCAGCACAAACGTCAACCCACCAGTTAAACAAAAATCAGCGATTCAGAGCAGCACACACACATGCAAAAGTACCTTCTTTTCCCCGCTTTGAAACTTTCCTGTATCACCTTTCCTCATGTCTCTTTTCTCTGTTTTACCTCCCTGAACAATAGCCATTAGCTCCTGACACAACTGGTTGTCCTCAGAGGAACCCACAGGTCTCCTTTCTGGGCTCGCACGCATGTCTAGTTGGGATGGTTTCAGGCAGCGCTCAACAGAGATCTTGGGGACAGCATGAGCACTCTGCTCAGGGTGGCTGCTGCCCTCTCCTGTCTTTTGGAGCCAGGCTTGGCTGGCAGTGGTGTCACGCTGCTCTGCGAGGATGCTTTCGGGGCTCTCCACTGCCCAGCGAGAGGAGTTAGAGTAAGTCACGCTGGGAGGAGGGGAATCAAACTTTTCTTCGTTTTGTGGAGTGGCCTGGTAGAAACTGCGGGCAGAGGATTGAGGTCTGGATGAGGAAGAGGGCAATGGGGATTTAATGGACCTGGGAGTCGAGGAGCCAGAGAGATGAGAATGGTGGAGGCTGACTGTGGGGGAAGGGCTGGCTGCAGCAGAAGGCGAGAGATAGTCAGTGTGAGAGAGGGAGGCTTCAGGCGGAGGAGGCAATGGAGGAGTTATGGCAGGAGTGGTGCTGGGAGACACTCCCACGGTCAGAGCAATCCACTCGGATGTGACCGCCTGCACCTCTGGAGACAAAGCGCGGCGCGCAAAAGGCAAAGGCGGAGGAGTTGGAGTATGGAGCAGCTCAGAGCTGGGAGACTTGAAGGAGACAAAAGCAGGAGAGAAAAAGAAAGAAATGAACAAAAAAAATAATAAAGGAAATACAAAACCAAGCAAAAGTAAGAGGAGAGAGAGCCAGTGTGGAGAGAAGCAGATCTGTGACCACATGCATAAGTTTTCTATGGATGCTCTGCTGTGTTGGAGACAATGCTGTCTGCAGCTACTCCAACCACAGAGTCCAGCCTGTATCTGTGCTGCTAATACCCGTCTCCAGCCTTTGCCAGTATCCCAGACACAAAACACCTTGTGGCATCTGACTTCATACCATAAGCCCTAAGTCCCTCAGGGAGCAGTTGAAGCCACCATTATGATGGCAAATGCAGCATTGGACTGGCCTGGCAGCAATAGCTGGGGTCCCAGCAACTCACACTGTGGATCCAGCCAGAATTCACTGCTGCAATGAACTTTGATTTTATCCAGCTCTAGCATGAGCATTGCCTGCTCCTCAGGAAGCATGCATTGCAGAAGCTGCTCAGGAGAAAGGGACCAAAAAAGCCAGCTGTGGATATTTGCTCTTCAGGTGATTAAAATAGGTCCTGTGTTTAAAGGGCAGAACACACTACCAAGTCCTGCCTGTGGCTTTTACCACCAGCAGCATTGGTGAGGACAGCTACATCAGCACTTGTCAGACTGTTTCACAGTCCTCAGCCAAGTTAAACAAAAAACTAGGGGGAGTACTGACTTTATAGGGGAGGAATCAAAGGAATAGGAAAGGAAACAAAAAAGGCAGATATGATCCCTTCCATCAAAGGGAGAAGCTTGCAGGGAACTTGTGGAAGATAAGAAACAGCTATGGAAAGGCTGCCAAGCTCACAGAAAAGCTCAGCTGATGTCCACTTTGACTGAGAATCCCAAACTAGCAACACGTTTTTCCTCTTTACACAGTGGCTAAGACTGAGAACACTCCTTTTAGGAAAGATCCAGACAGACAACAGGCATGAGTCATGGCATCTTTTTTTCCTATCCTTTCTGTAGCATATATCCCTTCCTCATAATCCCAGTTCTCCACTTATGTTTCTTGCAGTCTTGACCTTGTTTTGGTCCCATGGGTGATTGGGAAATGCACCAGAAGCTCATGGCCATGACCCAGACATGTATGCTGACCTTCCCCTCGCATGAGTATTTGCAGGATGAGAGCAAAACATTGGGGGATTTAGAGACTCACTATCTCCCTGATAAATTTGCCATGGCAAACATTCTGTGATCCCCGTATAATTACCTGCTGCCATTTTTATTTCTGCTTTGAACTGCAGTATGGTTTGTAGTGAATCTAATATTCATGGAAGATCCCAGACTGACCTGCTCTCAAAACCTGAGTTCATGTAGCAGCAGTTTCAAATAATACAGACTGTTCTTCTGACCCTGTCTCTAAAAACCCTGGTCATGAGTTAGGTCATACAGGAGCAGGTGTACAGCTTAATTCAAGCTGATTGGGACTAATATAATGACCCTTTCAGACTATAGCACTTCTTAATACCTTACAGACTAAGACACTTCTTTCTAATAGTCATAATATAAAATTCCCCTCATCACAGTAAAGGTGCATGAACTGTAAACACATACCCAGAGGAAATGGATCACTAATTCATTTCATCTCTGGCAGTGAAATTTAAATCACATGGCTGTGAACTGTAGCCTTTTCAACCTGGCCCAGATTCAAGCTACATATCAGAGATAAAAAGCTGAGTCTCCAAATCCCCAAATGACCCGTTCATTAACCTTTCTGGTAAATGAAACATCACCTCTTCCTGCAGTTGAAGCTTACTGCAGGGAGCATGTGGCTTTATGGCACAAAATTCTAGTCTTAAATAAAGCTTTCTTTCAGCTACTGCTTCTTGCACAAGAATGGCAATATCCCACTGTTTTGCAAGGTGTTGAGCCTGGCTGCATCTAGTCCTAGTACCTGTGGTGACGCTGTCATGCTGCGGCTGGGGGAGAGGGACACAGGTGGGTCAGGATAGTCAATGGCATTCTTGACCACTGGCCGCTTGAGCACCTCCACATAAGTGACGGGGAAGATGCCTTGGCGACTGGTGCCAGAGATTCTTCCTTCATACCAGTTCTCATCCACTCGTCGAATCAACGTGATCCTTTCACCCTGTGGGAAGGAATAGCAATGTAGTTGTGATTTTAACGTTTCATCATTCCAAAGCAGATTACATTTTAAATCTTGGTGCAGCTGACCTACAATAATTAGTGGTTCTCAATTTACAATTTCCTAATTGGAATTATTGCTATTTCAAATTATCCTAATCCTCAACTGTGGATTAAGAATTAAGAGAAAGAAAAAATTGCAGATCTTCTAGTACTGACTTGGTCTGTCTGCAGACTCAGTTATGCTCACATTTTCAAGACCCTACTTGCTAAAGCCAGTTAAAAATGGAACCCAGCTGTTTCAGGCTGACCATGAGACTCTCAGGCATATGAGGTGTATAGAAAGTATACACAGGTCTGCAGTTTATCCTAGGTCTCTCTGTGGTCTCTCCAAGTTTTGCTGACAAAGTAACTTCCAGATCCTTAACATACACTGCAAGCCTCACCTTCATATATAATTAAAAGAGAAGACAGAGAAGATCTAATCTGAGCATTAAAACATAAAGCTGGTCAAGATGGAGAAATATGGCTGACTTTCTTCTGAACAGGCATTACACAACCCCTTCCCACACCTTCACTCTGCAGTCTAGCCAGTCACTTCAATACAGCAGAACCTGGCTTGCTCAGTGATTTGGCTTGTAGTATGGGGAAGGTGAATCCAGCTTCCTTCTTTTCTATATCACCATTATCACGTAACTGTGTGGGCCTCTGCTGAATCTAACCAACCTGGAAAGACCTGTCACCAATTATCTAATTTGCCTTGCAGAGCCAGATTTCCAGCACTTGTGTTCAAAGTATCTTCTCAGTTGGACCTAAGGAAACAATTGTCACCTCTTGATTTAGCCTACCTGCAACAAAAACTGCAATGCACTACATAATGACTGTGGATTAAAAACATGGGTGGTGAGGAGGAATCCTTCCTGAATACAGTGTTTATTTTATTGGAGCTTTAATTTGGAAATTGCAAGTTACTAGGCTAAAAAGCATCATCATGTCTGGATTCAATTAATCAACACAACAGAAGTCCTACCTTCCTGAAGGACATTTCCACTTGGGTATCCCCATTGAAGTTGAACTTAGCAATAGCATCTCCATATTCCAATACTTGCAATGGTAATGGCTTTTTGGGTTGAGCCTTCTCAGCTGGTGGAAGGAACTAGAATGAACAAACAGAATCAGCCAAGTCTCATACATGAAGTCCATAAAGTGGTCTCAGGCAGAAAGAGAGTGGACAAAGAGAACACCTGCAAAAAAAGCAGCTACCTCTATGTATGATCGTGGGAAGATGCCAACTCTGCCGTGGTGTTCACCTTCGAGCCAGTTCTGGTCAATCTGCTTGTAAATGTAAACAATATCTCCTTTTTGCAGAGGAAGTTCCCTGTTAAGAACACAAGCACTCCATCAGAACTTCCCTGGAGGAGAACAGATGTAGTTTTCTGTCCAGCAATCCCTAGGTACCAAGGTGTGCATCAGCATGTTGACACACATCATTCTCCACCCAAAGCACAAGCTAAATGTTGAGGATTACTCTGTTCATATAATGATGTGCAAGACCTCGCTTGTTCTTTGGGCATTCTGTGAAAAAAGTTGGCCTGTGAGGGCCCTAATAACCACATGCTCTCCCAGAGGCAATGGGGTCAAGCTCAATATGACACTGGCTACTTTCCATGTTGGATATGATGAGCAGCCCTCAATTCATGTTTTGAAACAGTCATGTCACAAGCACCTTCCAAAGAGACATATGATTTTAATCTGAGATAGTTTGCTGATCAGATTAACATACTTACATGTCAAAGTCAATCCTGCAATGATTGCACTGATGGTCAGCCTGCAGTTGTGCAATCAATGACCTCAACTGGGGTAAAAAAATTGGAACTTCAATCCACAGGCTTCAGTGCTAAAATTTTGACTGTCTGCAGCTTGAAGAACTGTGGCCAGCTTGTACTAGGCTCATAAACTTTCTACTTGGGTCCCCAGAGGAAAATAAGCAACACAGCCTTTTCTAAGATGATTTTTACAAGATCTGCTTTACTTTTGTCTGGCATCCTGATACGTTCTACTCAAGGGACACAACAGCTACACCTAATCTGCCTCAGTTTTATTATAGGTGCTGGGGAGATGCTATTTAAATTATTACAAATCATCACCTATAAGAATAAATAAAAAATAGTCTCAGGACATCAGCTTATTCATGTAGGTCCTTCATTGAATTCTGTTCTTCTTTCTTTCCTCTCTAGCAATGTTAAAATGAGAGCTCCCCCAGGCCCATATTGTGACAGAGGCTTTCCAAGCCTTCTCTTCACAGCAGTCTTCCCTAAAAAGAACAAGTAGTGCCATGGCATTCACCCAAAGGATCACAACAGGACTTGGAAGTACCACAACGACATCTGAAACATCTGTTGATGTATCCATAGATGCCAGGAGAGCACTGACCACCCCGCACACTTCTTTGTCCTGAATCAGGAAAACGCCGAACCAGGGGCCCACATGCTCAGAGCATGGCATCTATTTAACTTCTGCTCATGAGCTATCCTTTGCACAGTGAAAAGGATGATCTTCTCCTGTGGCTCCACCCACCTGCTGGGCAGAGCACTCACTTCTTGCAGTAGAGAATGCAGATTTGTCCTAAAAATCATGTGGAATAGAGATGCCCTGAGAAAGAAGACATTTTCCTGAAGGTCCTTTAGATGCTATGAACTGCAAGGTTCGTATTACTTTTCCTTGCCTTACTATGGACAACTTTGCTTTGGGTACTGAAGACACCCTAAAACATGAGTCCAATTACATAACACTTCAAAAATGCTACATTCTAGGAGAAAAAGCAGAGAAAGAACACTCCAGGTAGGAGCAACAAGCTGTACTCACTTTAGTGTCTGTGCTTTAAAGTCAAACTTTGCTCTAGCAGGTCTCATCTGGAGATAAAAAAAAAAAAAAAAAAAAAGAAACCAAACATTAAAATAATAATTAGGTTTTCAACCCTCTTCTGAGGAAAATCACCCAAACTCTTCTACAGCTAAGATTAGCATGGGGAAGAAATTGAATGCAGGTATTCTGCTACAAGCTTGCGTGCAACTGGTATTACAGTCCAAATACGCTGGATGGGCATCTCCCACCAGGACACAAAGTGCCAACTTCTAGCATAGCAATAATTAGGAGCTCTACAGGAAATGGATTTAACAGCAATCAACTTTTAATATGACAAACACTGATGAATGAAAGCTGATCCAGTAACTACAGTTACTGGGGCTCCAGGACCAAATTTCTCTTGACATTTGAATGGAAAAGCAAAACTTACTAGCTGGGGAAAATAGTAGGCTATTATTTGATGTGTCTCTTATTGATTATTACCTGGCCCTGCTGAATACTGAAATGTGACCCATGTACTCTGTATCAATTGGTAGGAAAGAGACAAAGGTGAAAAGGAAATATGAATAAATTAGGCACACATTTTTAAAAAGTCTTCAGTGGCTAAAGAACCAAAACGTATGTTGACAGCAGGCCTGGGCTCTAAAAGGTTTACTTGGCTGATCTTCTAATGGCCACAAAATATTCAGAAAACTTTACAGTAATTTTGGTAACAGAGCATAAAACACAAAGCAGTCACATTGATGGGGTTCCAGAGCATTTGAAACTAAAGAGCAGACAGGTGTATGTACTCCATCCACATGGTGAGCACCACACCCACCACCACAGTGCAGCACCACTGGGGAAACAGAGCTGCTGTCAAGAGCCCAGCAGCAATTCATGCGAGGCAGGAAAGGCATTTGGCCATAACACCTGGACACAACATCCAGCCTTCCAGAAAAGCGCCTTGGGCTCATGGAAAAAATATGTACCTCCTCCTTTGTCTCTTTCAGAAAGTCCAACCATGTTGAACGCAGCGAAACATGCCGAGACTTTTTTCCTGACTGTTTCTAAAAGATGCTAAGCATGTTTCAAGAGAAGAAACAACGTATTTCTAAAAAACCACAACTATGTAACAACCGCATGGCCAGGATCAACAAGACATGAAGTTTCTAAGCATAAGGCACAGACAAGAGGACAATGTAGCAATATGATGCAAAAGATGTAAAATGCCTTGGATTGACTAAGTAGCTGATATTTAAAGGCATGCATCACAGGTGTGCACCAGCAATTCTCAGCAGGCATGCTTTAATATATGCAGCTTGGTATAGAGATATCAATTAATTTACCAGGCATAAAAGTCAAAGCAGATCTAAATTAAGCCGGAAAGGGGAAGGTGGAAAAAAAAAAAAATAAAAAACAACAAACGACATTCTCTGAAGAGCTAATGTCGGCCTAAAGCACAATATTGTGAGAGGCAATTATTGCTTTGGGTCAAGCAGCAGACTGAGGTAACTAAAACAGACCTCTGACCCAGATTTCCTCTTTGCTGTATCGTCTACATTTAGGAGGTCCCCAAATCGTTCATTAGTGATAAACTGATGGTGCGTTGGAATAACCCCTGTGTGCCTTCTAGCGGCAATATCAGCTTCTTCTTGCTCACGTTTAAGTCGTCTCTGGTCCTCTAAAAGTTTCTGCCATAAAATTGCATAAAATGGGCAGTAAATAATCTAGTTAAAGGCATTCAAAAGCTGCCATAAATTTGACTTAAGATTCCTGACTTCCCACAAATAGCTGGGCTTTGCAGTTTAGTATCAAATAATTGTTTCCACTAACAAAACAATACCCTTTCATTTTACAAACACAGAAGGTACATCTTCATTACGGCATGACTAAAATCTAGCTTATACAGAGGACCTGATCCAAAGCTGATGGAAGTCAATGAGGATTTTTTTTCTAAGTTTTGGGCAGGTCTTAGGAGCGTCTAAGAAGATTGGTGATAATGCAGAGACCTGATCTAAACCCCCTTCCACCAAAAAAAGAAGTATCTCTCACTGACTTCCAAGAGACCTGAATCAGCCCCATTGAGTTCCGAGGCATCATATTCTCATAAGCCTTACAAGGAGCTTGGAGAGTGCCTAACCACATTCAGGTTCTCCCATACTTCTTTTGGGCTCTTGTAACCCACTTTGTAAAATAAATAGACACCTAAAAATTATTTTGGATTTCTGAAGTCTCTGGCACATTGAATGAAAACATGCATTCTTGTGCATCTGCACAGAAAGATTCTTCCACCTTCTGGGGCTGACTGTAGGCTGAAGAGTTCAGCTGTGTGCTAACTCATTTGAAACCAGAAGGTCTTACTGAATTCACGTTTTCAATCTTACATGAATTTTCATGCTGGATTTTGGAAGTGGGGGAATTACTAACTTTCAAAGGAGAAGAGAGCAAAAAACATTTTTCACACAGGAATTAAGAACAGATTTTACCATATTTCAAAGCATGTTTCAAAACATTATCTGAACTCAGAAAGTTAACACTAAAAGCAAAACTTCCCCCCCACCAGCAAGGGAAATTAGTTCCATCTTCCAGGAAAGCAAGCACTTTATAACTTCTTTAACTCAGCTTGAATACACTCAGTGCTGAAAAGTCTATGTGGCTTTCCTATTATTTCAGCTCGTCCCACTTTTATCCAGCCATTTCAAAAAGGACTGCTACATTCTGTTGACAACAACTTCAGACACCATAAAGAATTCTAGTTTGCGCTGGGGGAAAACTTACCACATTCTGATAGCTTAAAACATTTTACATTCACTGTTCAAAACTTGATGACCCCCACAGGAATATTAGTGTTATCACCAGTTTAATTAATACTGACTCAAGTGGCTTGCATGAAGAAAAATTACAGATTACCAATCTTTTTCTGCAAGTACCAGGGTGTTGTACCACTTCTCACATACATTTCCAACCTTTTTATATACTTAAAGCCTCTGTATGTAATTTTGTGCAATTGATAAGAACTATAAGGTTTATTTGAAACAAGCTGAACTGGACTATACACATTACACAGCAAATCAGTGGCAGACAGCATTGAAAGTAAAACATACTAGTTACTGCTTGTTACTCTAACTTCCAGGACACACAGCCTGGACATACAAGTGTCCTTATGTAAGACTGAATGCTGTATTTCTTGTATGTGGAGCTGCTACTACTGTTATAAGGCCATAAAGGAGGGCGTTACCTCTTTATCATCATGTCGCCTGCGGAGAATTTCCTCTGGAGTTTCCATGTAGTCAACTGGTGCAAAATGCCTTGGTGATTCTGAATCTACCTCAAAACAACATAAGGAAGTTAAAATACACATGGATTTATCCAGCATAACCAGAAAGGAAAAAAATAGATATTTTTTAACAATTTGTTTCCATTATGACAGTAAGGATTCTCAATTGCCATTGACCAAATTGCCAATCAGATGTCGAATATTTATCCATTTTCATTTTTTTCCCTTTTGGGCTCTACATGTGAACAAAGATCCAAGAACAGGGAGAAAATAATGATACAGGAAAGAGTAAAGACATAGAAGGACTTTGTGAAGAAAAGATTCACTGTCATCAAAGTATGATTTGGCATTTTACTGTTGAGAAAAGTTTAATACACACAGGCACGCAAACACAACTAGACCTTGAGAAACTACTCCTTAAAGCAAATCATCTGGGTTTGGTTTATAATTCTCATGTATGTAAATGATACAGGACTAGAAATATCTCATGTTGAGATTCTTGCATCCCCAGAGCTGCTTGAGAGATAAATTGAACCTGATGTGATTAGAAATGCAGTGGAAATTGTTTCTCAGAAGTGCAGCTGTTAACAAGCCCTGAACAAAACTGCTCAGCAAGACACGTAAAAGGACATTAGACACACTAGGGGAAAAAAACCAGAGAGTCAGGGAATGTAAAGGTGGGACATAAAAATGCAAGGGTTATGGAAGAAAAGAGGAGGAGAATGGAAGAAAGAAGACAGATAAAGGGACACCAGTAAAGAACACAAAAACCACCTCCTAGGTACGTCCCAAGTTCACTCTGCGGGTTGTTGTTTGTGTCCAGGCTGTGGTAGAGGGCATATGAAACAGGGTTCCCATTGTTTAAGGAGTCAGGAATGTCAGCCCGGCCCATGAAGCTATCCCGGCTAGATCCCATGGTGGGGAAGTAGCTAAGCCTCTCCACAATGTCAAAGGAGGACAGGCGCCTGGGCGCAAGAGGCCCACTTCTGGAGCAAGGCTGGTACTGGGAGTGGTGACTCTTGTTTCCTACACTCCCCTGCAGCTGTATGGGGTCGTCTGGGTTCTCAGGGCTGGGCACTGCCAGGCTTGCCAGGCAGTCTGGGGGTGGAGTTCTGCAGGATTTGTGTTGGAAGGGCTTTTTCAATCGGAATGGGAGTGGGCTCATTAGGTAGACATTTCTGGGGAGCATATGCCTGTCCCCATAGACATCCCCTTTGGAATCAGAGTTCCTGGAGGACTGCTGCTGTTCATGTCTTCGGATGGTAGTGAACCTGGTGTAGGAAGCTGGGCATGTGCCTTTGCATCTGTTGATTTTATGCTTCTGAGGCCCATTCAGGTTGCTGCTGCTGCTGCCACTGTCATTGGAGGCATTTGAGAGAAGATCTATCTCATCAGTGCAAGCTGAGACTGTGTCCATAGGGATGACATCACTGACATCTGAAGCTGTGTCTTCCACATTGCTGCAGGAGCGGGAGGATTTATCTGCAAAGCTGGCAACATCCTTCTCTTCTAGGTGTGCTTTTGACAAATCCAGAAGAATCTCTGCAGAGTATGCAGCACTCAGACAAGTTTTAGACTGAAGAGAAGTGGTGGGTTTGTTTTGCCCAATGGAAAAGTCAAGTGAGGGCATTGATCGGGATCTCTGGATCAGCTGCTCAAAGGCACTGATACGGGAGGAAACGGTGTCTTTGGGGATCTGCTCTGAATCCTCTCGACTAAGGCTCTGCTCCATCCTGTCCTTTGCTTCATTCTCAAACTGAGATGCAATATCCTTCACGCTGCAGGAGGAGACTGTGTCCAAATGGATCCTGGACCGGTTGATCTGGTGCATGTCTTTATAGAGTGTTGTAAACTCCAGCCCACTCTTTCTGGAGGCAGCGAACAGGTAGCCTTTCCTAGAGTTGGTACCATACTCCTGCAGGCTCATGGTACTGCCAGATTTAATGGCATACTCTTGCTTGGACTTCATCAAGATGTTTTCTATGCTTTCCCCTATATCTACCATGAAAGCCTTTTTATTATCAAACAAGGCGGTGGAGCTACCAAGGTTTTCGCAGCTTTGAGCTTTCTCATGAGACAGCAAGATACCCGTCTTGTCCTGCACAAGAACAGCTGGAGCTGCTAATTTGGGTTTGAATTTAGAAGGGAGGATTTCAGTAATGCAGGCTTTGGCAGCTGATAAAGGCTTCTTATGTTTACATGCGTGACCTAACATACCGGTATGACTAGCATTAAAGGTTCGGCTATTAACTGAAGAGGGTGCAGTCATATGAGCATTCCCACCTTTACGATCCACTGGTAAGCATGCAGAATAAAATAAATACAACCTGTTAGCTTAAGTGCTAGAAAGCTACTGAGAAAGGAGAAAGAACATGCTTGGATTTCATAAAATGCACCTTAAAGAAACAAAATTCCAAAACATAAAGAAAAGCAGGAAGAAATTGTAAAACAAGCCACACTTAGAGGAGTAGGTGAAGTGCTGCTAACGTTTTGAAAATGAGAGGCTTGGCCAGAAGCAAATCTGGAGCACTTTTAAGGTACCCTCCTAAAAAGTGCTAAGCATCATGAGCTTCCAGGGAAGCTTGTGGCACCATGGAAAAGGGCAGCTGAACTCTGGGCAGGATCAGGGTGTCAGGAAGAATGCAGAGACACTAACATTGCAAAAATGGCTTCATACCAAGCCTGTAATCACACCTACTATGGTCCCACCACAGTGCTTGCCAAACAGTTTATTCCTGGGAGGAAGAAAACAATCAGAGGCTGACTGTGCTAGCACAAGCATACCACATCAGCTGACCTCACCCAAGAGATGCCTGCTTACAGATTCCCCATACTAGGAATAAGCTGAGTGTCCTTCAGACAATGTGGTTGGCCATGGTTGCTTTAAAATTGAAGAAGCCAGATCAGGACATTGTTTGTTTTATTTTTTAATAGGATTCAGTCTGGTTTCATCTTAGACTGCAGTTTTTAGGTCTGTTTCCGATTTGAGTTCAAATCCAAATGTCAAAATAATCATTCAGGTTCAATTGCAGTTTGGGGAACTGTTTGAACAGATTTTTTTGTTCAGATCCAGTTTGACTCCCTGCCCTACAGGCCTGACAAAATGCTGAAAAACAGCTGGAAGATGGAGACAGAGAGACCTTTTTGGTATGATGTACTATTTTTAGGGAGAGCAGTTCAGAAACCCAGCACATTCTTTCTCCAGTCCTCTCCCCATCTCAAGCCATTTTTAGGTTGAAGTTGGCTCAGAGATACATTCCCCAGTGCAATTCCCTGATGGGACTCATGCTCTTCTTTGTCTCTTTTAGAGAGTCTGCAATAGGGGGAGGGAAGAGGAGGAGATTGGTCTCTTCTGGCTCACATTCCTGGAGCCTGCAGGGCTGGTTCAGCCAGCAATTGCTGGTTCAGTGTCAGTGCATTCTCTGCACAGCCCTGGCAAGCAGGAGGCTGAGCAGCACAGGGCACCAGCTACACCAGGGTAGCCAGGCCAGCAAACTGCTGTGGCCTGCTGAGATACTGCTGTGGGAAGAACAGAAAAGACAGGGAAGGGCTCTAGAACGGCAAGGCAATGGGAGCAGATGGATAGCAAGGCCAGCCTAAGCAGCCTTGAGGAAAAACATGAGGGTGTGGGCTGTGACTGAGGTGCTGAATGGAGGGAGCTGATCTCTCTTGAGAAGAGGAACCTGGATCAGTTAAAGGCATCATTAAAAGTATTGGCCATTGTGGTCTGAGAGAAAAAAGGAGGGAACACTGGGGATGGCAAAGAGGACGGATAGCATAAATCTCAACTGGCCTAAATAGGACTCTAAACCTTGCAACAGTTTGCCCGTATCACCTGGCTTTTGACACTTTGCAGAAGGAGAAGAGATTAGTGTTCTAACCACCTACCTTTTGTGGAAGCAGAGCTCGAAGGTCGCTTGAGACCACTCAGCCCCTGGAACGGGATATCTCCACCTTCCAGCACACTCTTGTAAATCTGCCTTTCATTCTCCAAGGCAGCAGGGTCTCCCGCAGCTAGCTCTGACTCCTTCTTCACTGCATGGTAGTTGGGTGAATAAGTGGAGCTGAAATACATAAGAAAAAGGAAAGGGACACTAGGAGGTCACACCTGTCTGCTAAGAGCTTAATGTAAAGTAAGAGAATACCACACTTGTGAACACAGAATAGACTGTGCACGAAGGACTGATGCTGATGAAGAGGTTATGAATACACTGCAATAGTGTTCTGTGTTTGGCACTACCAAAGAATCCTCTCACTTGAGGGAACTCTCCAGTCTTAGTCCCCCAGGAAACAGACAGCCGGAAAGCATCCCTCTATTTTACAGATGACACAACAGTCAGAGTTGATGCATGATTTCTTTGCAGACACAATGAAATTCATTGGCTAGCTGGAAGTACACAAAACCTTCCACCTTCCAGTTCTCGCTCCTTAAACACCAGCCATGTCTCTCCCATGCTTACAAAGCACAACTGCTCAGGGGGTCATCTCACCCAGTTCAGTCTCCCAGCCAACACTACAGTTAAAGATTCCCTGACCAGTTTCTGAAGCCCATCAGTGAGGGCCTGTGCAGAGAAGCAATAGTAAAGTGCTACATTGTTTTAAATGCCAGAAAAATTCCCAGAGGCACACAAATCTGTTCAGCTTTGCCAGAGGCTTCCACTACATGGAATAAAAATCCTGGACTCTAGGTCTACCATGCATATATATATAAACAGAATTATGTTAAAATTAGTACAATTTTAATTTCTTAGGTTTTTAAAGACTGGAAATTTATTGCAAATCTCTTTTCTAGTCATGAACCTAAGCACAAGTATGCTCACACATCTGATTTCTAGATTTCCCTGTTTTGTCTCCAAAATAATAACTGGCAATGCCATGGTATAAATTGCCTTTCCAGGTACAAAAACCTTATTAAGCAGTCAGGCAGACTGTTTTCCTAAAAGCTAAGATAATCTGATACCAGTTCTCCTGCTCAGCCAGGCTCTTCAGAATAAAATGGAGTCTCATACAAAGCCAAAGCATGACTGCTGGAAAATTTGAAAAAATAAAAATATACACATTTTCCAATTAACAGAAATATTTGACATCCTGATGTCCAAGAGTGATTAAAATTTATGAGAATTTGGAAATGTTTGTGGTTATATCTGTTTGTTGTGGATAAATTTGTACATGTATCTGTTTATTTTGGATAGATGCTGTACTTGTGGGGTAAAGAGAAAGCTTTAAACACATCAGAGGACTGGCTATGGAGGTGGAATTACACAATGTCTGGATCACAAAGACTACTTTAGTTTCCGCACAAGGAAAAGCAGGTCATATGCAGTCCCATAAATTACTTTCTGGAGGAAAAGCTCATGAAATGCACCATGAAAGAGAAAGGGAATATGGTCAGTTTTTCAACCTAGACAATGCTCAAACAGACCCATAGCTACAAAGCTATTGTTTATCAGGGTTCTCTTTGATAAAAAGTTCATCTCTTTGTCAAGTACCTGACGAAACCCAGCCAGTTGCTGCAGGGAATAATGATTGCCCTGAGGTTAATTGTTAGCCTAGTTTTTAAAAAACAAAGAGTTAAAACAATCTTCCTTTGGGACTAAACGTGGGGGAGATAGAGGAGGCATTTGGTGAATCTCTTTACCAGCTGCTCCTTATTCAGGACAGCAAGCAGTACTGTACTGGAGCCAAAGCAGCCTGCAACATCAGGTGAATGAAGGGAGAGCAACATTGCAAAAACACCCAAAACAATAAATTCCAGCTATCTTTTCTCTCTGCTCTCTATGGCAGGGCAGGGAAAAATATGTAACTCCACCAGGCCTCACTCTTGTGTCCCATTCCCAGCATACTCAGCTTGCTTCCTCTCCACTGGCATTCCTGAATGCTCTGTGTGGCACAGATAGTGCTGCCATGAACAGAAACTCTAACAGTTGCTTGCAAACATATAACATTTACGCTAATCTCTGGGAATTCTATTTATGTTATTGCTCTCTTCATACCAAAATAAAACAGTTGCAGTGGTTGTGTGGGTTTCCCAGCAGAATGAGCACAGAAGAAGGAAACTGTGTTGAAAGAAGTACAGGAGATCTCCAAGGCCCCCAGAGGGGCAGTGAACATACATTGTATTAATGGACATCTGGAGGAGAAACTGCCTTTTTTAACAAACCATCCTCACAGAGGGGATCACTGTGCCTATGGACATGGAGCATTCAGAACAATTACAAGGAGCAGTAGGCTCACAGTAGGGGCTGGCTCTGTGGCTCAAATAACTCAGGGTAACTCAAGTAACTCAACACAAGCTCAGCATTTTGCTCTGGATTTTGTGTGTGTGTGCTCCTCTTCTAAAACAAACTAACTCCATGTATAACTCATTTACACAGAATATACTGTTCACCACATATTCTGCTGAAAAAGCAGTGCCCAATAGATCTTTGAGAAGTATTGTTACTCCTACCACTGTTCCTTTCCTGTAGACTGGAAAATTACTGCTTTTCATCAACTGCATCCATCTGATCTGGTGCATGTAACATGGAATATCTAGCAGCAGCCAATCTATTGCACAGGTGTAACAAACAATTTTTGTGTATTTCACACAATAATGTTACTTGCATGAAGATACAGTCAATTTGCAAAATTCATCAAATGAAGTTAAAGGTCTGTTGATTTTTTAAAGCCACTGCCTAGCACAATCAGCAAATCTTACTTAGACAATGCAATCACTCATGTAATCAATTCAAAACACATTCTGGATCTGAATGCAGACAATGTACCAGGATTCACCTAAAGCACACATACAATTCTTATGGTACATGCATTTATCCATATCCATCCTCCAAAAAGCCAAAGCATTTCCAACATCCAAACCCTGACTTACATGACCTCATATTTTAAAAGAGACATCAACAAACAATTGAAAAACTTACTAGGAAGAATGGTCTGTGGAAGATTCCAGAGGAGTAACACCTGCTGTATTCTGCAAAAGTCCAAACAAAGGAGTCATTGATATGCACTTACATGTGAGGAGAAAGAAAAAGGCTTGCTTAAGTAACTTTCCATCTATTGATTCAATATTAGCCTATAGGAGACATTGAGGTTTAAATCTAAATGCAATTTAAGCTGTCAATGTCTTTGCAGAGAAGCAACAATTTTCATGAGTTCCTCCAGGGCAGTGACAGGTTTTTAGCACAGCCGATGCCTTTTTGCAGTGCCTATTCTTTTGTCCGCAAATGAGTCATTGTGAATAAAGCCAAAAGCAAGAAGCGATAACCAGCTGGGCCATGACCAGGAGACACATGCTCATAATTATTTCCCCAGGCTTTCCCCCAACCGGTCACTGCCCGCCTTTGCTTTAAAGGTATATTATATTTCTGCAGCACAATACATTCCTCAGCATTCAAAAAATATCAAAGCTCTAAAAAGAAAAGCAACATTTCAATTCAGTTTCCTTACTTAAGAGAAGCAATACCAGCTGCACAGGTTCAATAGCAAAAGCCAGTTCTTAGCCGCTTGCTTTAAATCCATCTAACGCTTCTTAGACACATTATTTAAAAATTGAAGGCAATTTTAGAAACAATTCTCTATTTGGTGCTCCTTCATCTATGTGAGGATTTCTATCTAGGAAGAAAAAGCACATCTTGGGTTTGAAAAAGCAGCTTTTCCAAGTCCTGGTGAAATGCCGCAGCTTAAAAAAAAAATCAGCAACAGAAAAAAAAGAAAAAATGGCGTGTTACCAATTAATCTATTATTTCATGGTTTGAGTGCTGCAGACCCTCGAAGCAGCAGCAGCAGCTCACCTGCCCTAGAAGGCCATGGCAAGGTGCAGCATAAGGAAAATTGTGTAAAATCTCTCAGGAATATCCAAAATCGTGGGTAGGAATGAGCTCCAAGCAGAGAGCGGGGCTTGTAAGAAGGGAGAGTTGATGGCAATACGCTTGAAAGGCACGAGATGATGACGTGACACGCCAACCAAGAATTTTAAGCTGATTGCTGCTGCTGCCTATTCATGTGAAAAATAGAGAGGGTTTTTTTTGCAGACACTGAACTCTAAACCTGAAATGGGGACTGGGATGGGGGTGGGGGCAGCTGAATGCAGTTGTGAGACACGAAACCACTGTATCTGAAATGGATTTCAAGCTGGATTCTCAGCATCACATTCTATTATTTCTGACAGCGACACAGCAAGCCATGCAGTCAGGACGCTCAGAACCATTATTTATCCCAACCTCATTTAATAATCATCCAGCAGTGAATAGATTAGAGCAGAGAGTTTGGAAACGGGGACTGGCAGCATGAAAAGAATAGGAAATACCTTCTGTGGCTTTTTATGTGGTGCTTTATAAAGCTTCTCCATTTTTTCTAAATCTGCCTCTAACTCAGTCTGGTATAGGTAGAGGTCTTTTTCTAGATCACTCTGGTTAAAGAAGGAGAAGAAGAATGGGAAAACAATGCTTAGGGTTAGGGGAAACCAAAGGAATGTTAATTTTGAAAAAAAAAAAAGAGAGCTCTTTTAATTGAAAAAGAGAAAGGTGGTATGGACAATACAGAGAAAATCACTAGCAACTAATCATGTTTCAATCATTATAGAGGAAATAGTTTTAGGCAATTAACATTAAAATCAAGAGATGCACAGGCCTGCTAGAATCTATTTCTACAATCCATAAAGTTATAAAACCCACCTGTAAAGAAAAAAAAAGATACTGTAATAATACGCAATATGCTGTTAGTACAATTATCATTACAAGTCAAGATAGCAAAACAACCACTCTAAATTATGGATGATTATGTTTTAAGAATTGTTTATTAAATCAATTTACTAGCTACTTAATTGTTAGGCTAATGAGCTCAAGCCCAATTAAAAAAGAAAATCACTCACAAGCACACAAAACCCAAGCAATGCTACAAGAAAAAAAAGAAAAGAAAACCACATACACACATATATACACGCTAGATGCTGTAGTGTAACGTACGTGAGACACAATTACCTTTCTATCCTCTCTAGTAAGGATAGAGCAATCTCCAGGAGTATAATCCCAAATCTTTTTTGGAGGCTGATGGAAAGCAGAGGAAGGAAATGAGGAAATGAAGATAAGGAAAGACATCACAGAGAATATGGAAACTGGATTAGAACAGAGGGGAAATACAATAGGGAATTTGCATCAACACTGAAAAGAAATTATAAAATAACAACAAACCACAACGGAGAAAGAGAAAAAGAGGAATAAATCTGCTATAGCATAAATATCAAGAAATCATGGGGGTCAAAAGGGAACATACATGCAGTGTGGAAGGGGCTGTTTTCAGAAATTTTTTTTTGCAAGGTGCTCTATGGGATTTTGGACTCTCTAGAGGGTACCCACAGCTGTTAAGCATTCTTAACAAAAAACCAAAACAAAATGGAGGGGGGGAACCACACAGTCATAAAAAGCATTTGTTTTGCTCATTCTTCTTTTCAAAAGGAAAAGGGTAAACCAAGGGCCTTTAATAAAGAAAAGGGACAATCTTTCTCACTTCCATCAGCGTATGAATACATACCATGTGAACAAATGGCTGATTTCCCCGTGGTGGCATTGTGGGGCAATGAGAATGCAGAGTTATTATTTTTATTTCACTGGTTTTGGGGGTTCGTTTGTGGGGATTTTTGGTGGACAGAGTGGGACACAAGAAAGTTTGGGAACTAGCTATTTAAAATTCATCCTACAGCTGAAAGGGCCGATTTCAAAATGGACTTTTTTCCTGTTTGGATGAACAGGTAAGTATCAGGCAGGATTATTCAGAGCAAAAGACGACTGGACTCCCATGACTGCAGTAAGCAAAGCTACAAAAAGCATTTTTTTTTTTGGCTGTGGCAACAAAGCTCAGAAAAGGCTTGCCAGCTATAGAAGTCTGAGATGGCATCCTGAATTCAAGTGCCTGACACTGATGCACTATTTATGGAGTTCCACATTCAGGAACTGGCATCATTCTTGGGGAGCATGGTGGCATGGCTTTGGAACAGAAGCAGGTTCAAGGCATGCCTTATAAGAGAGCAGCACTTGACAAAAGTGCCCTGAGCAAGGTGGGGAACTTGTCACCAGAACAGATGGTCTGCTGAACATGAGACAGATTGCCCCAAGATACCCTCGTCTGGAATAAGGCCAAGGCTGCATGACTAAAAGCACAAATCCACGCTTCTAAAGAACAGGTATACCCCCACACATAGAAAGGACCAAGGGCATAAATGCTTTTCTTTCTTTGACACATTTTCCATTAACTCACACTAACTCAAAGGACCACAGAGTTGACAAACCTTCACTCATTGCAAAAGCAGATGGCTATTAACTACATGGCAACAAATATAAGCATGTTTCTTCTCACAGTGGAAACCTTAAACCATGACAAGTTGTGAGGAGTTAAATCCTGACATTGACAACACTTAAGAGCCCCATCAAGGTGAGATTTATCTAACTTTTACTGTCTAAACATTAGGAGGTCTTTTCTCAAACACTGCAGAAACCTCTTTAGCTTAGGATGGAAGGTCCATAGCTATAAAACATAGTTTTCTATCAAAGACTGGACTACTCAACCACTGTACATCCTTGCTTTCCAGGAAATATTGCACTATTTTTATGATGTGATCAGACTGAGCACACAACTCCAGGTAGCTACATTCTGTGCAGAGGAACTTTGCCACTTCTGCCAGAACAAAGACTAGATTTAAAAGAAATCTGCTCTCTAGTGTCCATCCATGTGCAATTGCCTTTGAAGACAGTATTGAACCTAAAAACATACTTCTGTTTTGTTGTGCACACATGGAATCTCAGCAGTACTCAAAATTTGTGTGCATGGGTATTTGACTACTGACCTCAAGGGGAAAGCAGAAATGAGAAGCCATCACTATGTTTGAATACATGTGTGAGGCTGATACTGACCCTCTCTGCAGTAAGAGTAGCTTATTAAATAGTACTTAATAACTAAGTTAATAGTGTTTAATCAGTAAGAACCAAGCCATAAAATGCTTAAAGTCACATTTTTTCCCAGTAGCCATGACCACTGGATGTGTTCCCTCCATCAAAATGTTCTTTGTCCTATTGAATAATTAAGCTTTAGTTCATCTTTCTCCAGAGGGGAAAATAAGAATTTTTTTTTTTTTTTCCTCTCCACATATACCAACACAGCTCCATTTGAAAAGAAAGAACACTGTTCTCAGACTCCTTTGATTTCAGGGCAGGGCAAGGGCTGTTCATTCAAAATGCCCCCCATTTTATGCAATGGGCAGCTACATGCATAAGGAAATATGCAGGAAACAAGGTCATGATCTGTTTATGGAGAGCTGGAAATTACTGATCTACAGTTTACAACCCAGGAACAGGAATAAATAATTCTCCTTGACTTAAAGCTACCTATCAGCCATCCTAGATCTCGTTAGGCAGAAGGAGAATAAGAGCATTGAATAAGGACTTTTAATAATGAGAGGAGTGTATTATTTCTAACATTAACAACAAAAATGCAGTTTGAACTATGGTGTGTGAAAAAAAAATTACCTTGTTGATACATAGTGCTGGAAGTTGGGGAATGTTTGTAAATTGTTTCAAAACACTAAAAGAGGCACAGAACAGCTGCTTTATGTTAGTACCAGGATGACATTATGTACAATCACATCTTTAAATGAGTAAGGCAGCTGTTTCAGATTTAGGGCCTAGGAAAGAGATGTGACAATCATAAAAAAAAAAAAAGGGTAGGTTGACTTCATTGGTCATTGCAACTATCGAACTTACCGGTTTCCCAAACTCCAATTCCGAAAAGAATTTATACCAAGGTTCATTCTTTAAATCTATCTCTTCTGGGCTTATATCCCGAGTCTAAAGGAGTTGGTGATAGGGGAATGGAAGAAAGAGAAGGATAACATTATGCAAAGAATACATAGAAAGGGACTGTTAGAGATGCAGATCCCATGGCTTCCATTTTAAAATGTAGATATTTAGTCTAATTTGGAATTTCTATAGCATGTTTTTCATAAAGGCCATGAACTGCTTTGAAAACATCAGTTAAGCCAAATAGCATCACTGTGACCAACATGAATATGAATGAATTGCATTTTACAGGTCAGGAGACCCACTGAGAGAGAGAGGGATTCTGCAGCTTGCCCAGAGTCACAGGGAGACTCAATGTAAGAGCAGAGAGCCCAGCAGTCCATCAGTCCTACTGTCAGACACTTTTATCAAGTCAAAAGCTGCATATATTTTATTATTATTTTAAAGTTTCATTTGGTTAAAAAAATAGAGACTCAGTAATACCTGAATCAAATACTGCATCTTTAACAGCACATGAACATGTGAGAAACCCTGTTCTACACACTGCAAACAGAGTGGAAGGTGTTTTTCTAAATAATACGAGACACATGTCAGAGAGAGCGCATCCTGAAAGACCTCTGAGAGGATGGATAGAGCGACAATATTACGTGTTTCTTCACAAATAAATGTTAGAGTATCAGACAAAACTACAATGAAGGAAAATCAGACAGGACAGAAAACAGTGCAGTTGAAAAGGAAATTCCCTTTCATTCATACCCTCTGTCTTAATGAAACAAAAAAAAAATTGAAATAGTTGTAGCTGTTTGAAAACACTGCTGGTGAGGTAAGAGAATAAAAGTCCATTGTTAAAGCCTCTCAGGTACCACTCCCCAAAAGTGTGGGATAAGAGATCTGTAGCTAATTCCTGCATTTCAGTATACCTAGTCAAAGGCAGAGTGGATCTCCATGCATTAAAAATATAAGCATGTTATGTCTGCTGTGCCAGTATGATCCCAAGTGCTCCATCACAAGGAAGAAGGAGACCCACAGATGCACAATGTCCTCATGGAAATCATTTTGTGACAGGGTTACTGAGGCAGTTGACAAAAGCGCTGGACTTGGATGTCCCAGATTCTGCCATAGCCATTAGCATCACAAAAAAAAGCTCTAGGAAAAGAGCTCAGGATTGACGCTGAATGAGAGGCAATGCAAGATGAATAGTTACATCATGTTTAATGCCAGATGGTCTGGAGAATGATTTGGCTATTTCCTAAAGGCACAAGGGAATCAATACTTCTATTTTTCATTTACTGCACTCCAACTAAAAGCACTCATTTTATGTAACTGTGTTTACATTAAAACAGAGCTCAAGGATATCAACAGGAGGCTATTCATTGCTCTGAAATGGTTTTGGATTTGGATCCTGATAGTCAGAGCTGTGGGTGTGATTACCAGGAGATATTGACAAATCTCCTACACCTCCCTGAAAGATGCAGTCACTAACCACTATGGTAGTGTTATATTTAATGAGGCTGATGGAGACTGTGAAGCTACTACTCCAAGGCCTGCTTTCTTCTCTGGTCTATGGCTTCAAACTAAAACTCATAAAATAACACTGGAAGTAGCGTAGCTATCACTTTCATCTTGGTTTTGATGAGCTCTCTACGTAAAATGTTTTCAGTTATGCTGATGATGGTTCTGTTTGTGGCTTTTAGACTCTGATTCCACAGCTCAATTCAGTACCTGATGAAGTCTGAACATGTAAACAGTGCCACTGGTGATGACAGACCTTTTGCAAATGCTTAAGTACACAGATGAAGCTGGCCTTTTGCCACAAGTTTTAATCTTGTCTGTTTACCGTGAGACAAAATTGATGTTTAAGTCAGCAGAAATCTGGCTCCAGGATGGACTGCAGGAATGGAGGTGTCATACCATGTTCAAACCACTCCTCACTGGCACTTCTCTAATGGGCTGAGGCAACACCCAGTGGTATCAAGAGGGAGTCATCCACCACCCATTGCAATAGGCACTAGGATCATGCCCCCATCAGGAACAACTTTGTTGAAGTCAATGAAGGGACACAGGTGTGAAAAGAAGTTGGTTGCAGCATCTTCAAAAAGTGATGGACCTTGATTACACTTGGAAGGAAAAAAGAAAACCCACCAAAATACTAAGGAGAAGCATCAGGTCCCACATCAGACTTGATTCTTACATTTCCATTGCTTTAAATTGCTATTCACTCTTGTGTAAAATCCTAGGCAGGTTTTTCAGGAGTATTCCTTTACCTATTCCATGCATGGATCAACATCTGAGTTGTTAAGGTACAAAGTCCAGTTTACATTTGGAAACTCACATGCAATTAGCAGTTCTAACTGAATCCTTTAAATTAATGCCTTTAATAGAACAATTATCTTTATGCACTATCTTTATACACTACTAACAGCATTCAGTATTTTCTAGCAGTTACAGTATCACACTTGCACCATGGAAGGACATCTTTAGTGATCTGTGCTGATTTATACTGGACTGGCTGATGAGGTTAGCATCACCTCTCTGCCTATCCCTTGTCAAGTATTCTCAACCAAGGCTGAAGAAAGAGACTTTTATATGTCCCTAGCTGTCACAATTCACAGCACTGCTTACTAATTCAGACTGAAATTGCTAATAGCTCACTTATTATGCCAAGTTACATTCCACCACAGCTGGAGAGCTCACATTGAGTCCTGCCACCTCTGCCACAGAACTGATAAGAACCAGCTAAGGAAAAAAACAATCCAGAGAAAATGGCCATATCCTAATGCACCTCAGAGGCATCCACTGAGGCACACTAAAGGCACTCTGAAAACTAGTTCACTGTTTAAAGCAACAGAGGAACACAGAAACCGAACCTGTCTTCTCTGTTGCATAATGCCTTCAACCCTCCTGCATCAGCTAATACTGTGCCCTAGAAAAAGTATAGCTGGCAAAACAGCTGCTGAACAGGTCACAGTGTGAAACATGGATTAAAAACTAGGGTTAGTGATTCATATTTAACACGGAAAACAGCACATCCAAAAGCAAAGAAGCCTCTCAATCCCCCCTGGATCTTGCTTTAGAGAGAACAAAAATGTTAGGAAGTTATGCAGAACAGTTTTCAAGAAACATCACACAAGCACTGCAATGTCAGCATAAGGATTCCCATCCAAACAGAACCACACAAGCATTTAGAAAGTATTTCATAATCGCAGGATAAAGCCACCAACTAGGATAAATCAAACATTACCATCTTTTCGTTGTTCAGAACAGAGGACTTCCCTGGCTGATAGTCATAAATGCTCCTGGGTTCTGCACGGTATTTTCTGGTGTCGACCTTCTTGTCTGGAGGCTCCCAGTCAGTCCTGAGGAAAGAAAGATCAATTACCCCAAAATACAGTGGTTTCTGTAAAAACAAACTCTCAATTTGGACTGATGCTTTACCCCATTAATTATGGTTTAATCTGGGTACTTTTTTTAACCTAGGAAAGAAGACTGCTACAAGAGGAACAGTTCAGATAGGGCTCCAGACAGGTATTGTTGGAAACAGCTCAGCTGCTGAAATAATTGGAGTGGAGGAGGGTTATTCTAAGAACACTCAGTAAACTTCCAGACTACTAAATCTTTCCCCACTGGAAACACTTTAATGATGGGCTTCAACTAAGCCCACAAATATAAACATGTTCAAACTTGAAGCAGAACTCAGATTAAATTGCTTTTGCTAAACTTCTGCCATTTAGCTACATCACTGATTACCTGATTACCACTGCTCTGGATTCCGAGGGCACTCTAGATTCCAAGAGGAGGTTTCTTTTGAGCAGATGAATAAATTATCTCAGGCTCTATTTTAATATAGCTAAGAACAGTCCACTGACTACCCAAACCACTATAATTTTGTGCAGTGCCTATACTAACACAGTTGAAACAACAACAGTCACAAAGCATTCAGGGTCCATATCCTACAAGGTCCTGCTGGTCTCAAAATTGATATAATCAGACGCCTAATGCAGAATAACAAATGCTCTCCAAGAAACCAGCCCTTTTAAGACAATAAACTAATTCTGATTTTGCTCTTGGCATGTTGTCTTTGATTGGCAATGTGTATATGGATTCATCTCACCCAGAATTCACCAAACAAAACTTAGGCATCTATGCAAAACTGCTGCTCCAGGTTTCCTCTCCCTTACCCTTCTCATCTGGTTAGGATAGAAACAAACCAGCGATCTGCCTAAACTCTCACCACTGGCTGAGAAGAGACAAAGACAACCCATTTAATTTTTTTCCTTTCTAGAGTAAGGCAAGATGACAGCCAAAATGATTGGCATACAAACAGTGCACAAATTTCAATAAGGATGATCTTTCCTGTCCAGACAAACTTGATTGCTTAAGACTCCAATCACAAAGAAAATCTGGTGAGACACTGCTTTACCACTAGATAATAGGAAGCATTAATTATGGTAATCCTTTCACTTGCAAGAGTTTTCTCAGAGGGCAAATACACTATGTCTTAAATTCCTGCATAAGTAAGACACTTTCTTTCAGTAAACTTTGTCTCCTAATCCAGTGACCTGAGATGCTCACTAAAGCAGATATGTCCAATTACAGCTTTGCTCATGTAAGGCAGCAAGTGAAAACCACTAGGAGCTTGTAAAAGGTGGTAAAGGAGGGTGGAACAGTTCAAGAACTGTGAAAATTCAGCAGGACATAAAATATTCTTTGCTCATTCTACTTTCCCTTCATTTGTAAATGCATTCCTTACTTTACAAAGATGTTTAAAACACATGGTAATAAACAAAGCAAAAAACCAGGAGGGAAGTCATCCTAGAGATCAGAAATGACACTGCTAACTAGAACCAACTTGCAAGAAAGTTCATATGGGTAAGACTCCTCAGAGATGGAAAACGTAACAAAGTTTTTATCAAGACTCAACATAAATCCAAATTTTGCTTCTCCACAATTATCACTACTTGCTTGTATTCTGAGGTGCTTTTACAGTGTCACACTGAGCTAAGAGTTCCCACTGTGCCTATGTGGTAGGCACTGTATAAGCACGACACCCAACTGTTCACCCAGACAGGAGACTGTGCAACAGACAGTGTGATGCCTGATGACAAAGACAGAACTGGGGACTGGGCTGTGACAATGAAGGAGAAGTCTTTACTCTTGTAAAAGACTCAGATAAAAACTACATATCCAACTTCCAAAAAAGTTTAACTGGCGTTGTGGACCTAAGGCCACAACTTTTATCCCACACTTTTATCCCCTTCCCATTGACAGCTTTCAGATATTTTTCCAGAACTGATCTATACACAGCTTAGTTCAGATCACCTTTCTGGGCTTGATTTCAGCGATGAAGTACGGTTTGGCAGTGGCAAAGTGGCAGACCTCTTCACAACCTTCTCTGAATCAATATTGTCCATCTCACTCTTGGAGCGGGGAACTTGGGTTCTGCCTGTAGGATAAATCACATACAGGACTATTGGTGAACTGGATAGGAGGCAAATAAACACATGCTTTACATGCCCTTTCTTTTTGACAGATACAACAAGAAACGTGAATTACTTACTGTCCTCAGAATAGGAATAACGAGGAGAGAATGAATCAGAATCTTCATCTGAAAGACAAAAGCATTTTGCAAGTGAGTTGAAAAAGACCCAAAGAACAATCACCAGAGACCCTTTAATTTCTTCTACTAATGTATTCATCATAATTTGAGTGATATGCCCAGTACTTACCACAGGAAGAGGATCCTAAAGAATAAAACGCCAATGAGGTTTAAATTGCATTTGAAAATAATTCCTAGATTAGATATAAATATTAATATACTATTTACACTAATACCTTTCCTCAGGCTCTCAAAGTACTTTAGAAAAGAATCCCTTTTTATCATAAAACTCCTCTACAGCAAGGGTTATAGATCCGCTTTATCAAATGCTGAGAGATAAATAGAGGATCCAAAAGCCATAGTATATTATTAAAATAACTCATTAGGTACTAGACACAGTATTACAGCTGGGGATCCATGCTGACAATCACATATGACTCTTGTATTTAGCTACTAGAGGGCATCCAAAAGAAGGCAATGAAGACCGTGAAGAGTCTAGAGGTGAAGCCATGTGAGGAGCAGCTGAGGTCCCTTGGTCTGTTCAGCCTGGACAGGAGGAGGCTGAGGGCAGACCTCACTGCAGTTAGAATTTCCTCGTGAGGGGAAGAGAATGGGCAGGCACTGACCTCTGCTCTGTGGTGACAGTGACAGGACACAAGAGAATGGCCTGAAGTTGTCAGGGGAGGTTTAGGTTGGATACTAGGGAAAGGTTCTTCACCAGGAGGGTGATCAGGTACTTTAACAGCTCCCCAGGGAAGTGGTGACAGCACCAGCCTGACAGAGTTCAGGAAGTGTTTGGACAACGCTCTTGGGCACATGGTGTGACTTTTGGGGGTGTCCTGTGCAGGGCCAGGAGTTGGACTTTGATGATCCTTGAGGGTCCCTTCCAACTCAGAATATTCTGTGATTCTGTGACTGCAAAGAGAATTGTGAGCCAAAGTATTACTAATATCTCTGCAAAGAAACCACTCTATGTGACAGAGAAAAAGACATAAAAACAAAGAAGATGAAGCTAGAATCAACTAGATTTAAAAAAACATTTTAAAAAAAGTTCTTGTGAATTTAGTGATGACAATCAACACCTTGAAACAACTTCTAAATTTTCTCTCATGGAGGACATCAATCTGATGCTACAACTAATCTCAAGTCCTGGAAAAAAACAATTTGGCTAACACAGCTGACCTCAAGTTGCACTCAAGCCTTCATCAAGCCTTTCAGGAAGGCTCAGGGTAATCTAAACTTCTAACCTAGCTGCTTTAGTTCTCTTGGTGAATAAATTAGAAGGTTAAAGTTCTAAAAAGATGGTTATTGATTCTTATTATGTCCATCATAACCTTCAGGTTAAGAAGGCCAATTCCCATGCTTTAAACCTTACTGATGAAAACCAAATATTTATATTACACTGAACTGTTGACAAAAATTACTTGTATTCTTAAATACAAGTTTGATTTACTCAGATAGAAAACTACATGGTAAATCACAAAACTCAGTAGTCCCTACAAGTACAGGTAAACAAACGTCTAAAATTACCTTCACAGCTATTCACCTCTAATAATCTTTAGTGTTGTTAATCAATAAAAGAGAATTATATTTACTTACCGGAAGAGAAATATCAACATTCATTGTAACTCATCATTCAAACAAGAAAAACCATACAATAAAAATTCACTTCAGATAATGGCTGTTTTCCAATTTCTTATATTCTAATATGTACAGTAATGAGGAGAATAGTTATGTTTTGTCTCTGAGTATCTTATGAAGAAGAGTGTCTTCATTTCTTTCCTTTTTAAACAAGAAATACTGCAACAAATCTGGAGTGATTTGATAACATTAAAGAGTAAATCAGAATTGACTATTAAAACATTTTCTGTTTCTCAAAGCTGCAGTCTATCTATGAGATTCTACTTCACAAAGCAGATTATCATAAGTTTGTAACTTCAAAATCTGATTTCTTTAAAGAGAGGCTATTTCCCTCTGGATGGTAAAGAATCTGCAGGGTTAGATTTAATTTCATGGATTGGACATACTCTGTATGGTTTCAGAAATGCTGAATATATTTTTGAAGGGAGCCCAGATCTCGATGTTTCTAGGAGATCCTATGCATCAATCCATTCTGACATTCATTGTATGAAAGTGAGGCTCCAACCCATCTCTGTATAAACACTGCCACTGACTATGGATCTTTGAAGTGTTTTCTGAACATGAAACATGTCCTGCAACCCCTCCAACTCTTCTACATCATCAAATATTTTGTATTTCTTATCAAGACAAGAATCCAAGCAAATATTAGAGAAATGTTTCCTAAGATATTGAGAAAAATTTAGTGTTTAGTCCAATAAAATTTTAACTATATAAACCAGCAAATTACTTTCATATGCACATTTCTAAGTGAGAAATGTGGAGACATTTATGGGAGAACAGACTCTTTAATATATTGTCATCATGGGGTTTGAAAACTATGTTAGTCCAGGTGAGCAAAATGAATTTTCAAACCTCATTATGAACAAGGAAATATTCTCTGTAAAATGCTTTTACCCATTAATTTCTGAAACAGTTTCTCTCACACTCATACGCACATAAAATTCTGCCAAGAGAAAATAACTTACCCTGCATTACAGTTTGCAAGACAGGGCTCTTTACCTAATATATTTCACTAAAAATTATCAAGTATCTTAGATATCTGTACGACTCTTCATCCACATTCCTTTTAACAGTGAAATACACCTGACATTTCCTTGCCTTCTTTGAGTATCTCAGCTTATACTGCATGCTTTTTTCTTACACAATACCCACCAGATGTTTAATACAAATATTGAATAAAATGGTTAATTAAGGATCTCACCAGGGTTGGCTTGAGGCACAGGCTAAGTAGGCAAGTTTGCAGGATCTAAAATGTCACCAAAGCACCAAGACAACAAGGCTGTCACCAATAACTTCCCAATCAGGAAATGTCTGTACACCCAATGTGTGCAGCAGATTCCAGTGTTTCTCATATACAAATATTTTGCACAGTCACACAATAATCACTGCAACAGATGCTGTTTCACCGTCCCCAAAATATGACTGCAAAGTATTCTGATTTGAATATGAAGTTTAAAGGAATCTGCTTGAAAAGAATCTGCTGAGTGCATGAAGAGATAAGGTAAAGACAGTGTTATTTCAAGTTGCAACATGTGCTGATGAATCCAAACTCTGTCCTTGCCTAAATATGCCAAGTGCACCTAAGACCAGCCCTGAACCTATGCTATCAAGTTATTTTTATTTTAAAAACTACACTAAGGGACTGATCCAAAACCCACTGAAGCAAGTAGTCTTTTTACTAATATGCTTCAGTGACATTCTGGGTCTGGCCCTAATACTATGTTAATGTTAAAAACCAGAAGCAAATAATTAACGAAATTTATTGATTTGAGGGGGGTGGGGGAGAAATCTCAGTTAAACCCATCTTTACACATAAAGTCAGCAATCTAGATATGTTAAATAATCACTGCACACGCAACTGATAAGTGCAGAAAACCAAGCAAACCCCAAGTCTGCAGCATTACTTAAATACTAGTTACAAAGCCAGAGGAGCACTGCAAAGTCAAAAAGGCATCATACAGTCAAGGCAATGCTTAGAGTGCAGCAAATCATTATGAGGCAGCATAAAGCTCAGCAACTAGAAAAAACTCCAGGAAGAAAATAAATTGATAAGGCAGCATTTGTGCAGAAAAAATATATATGGACCTTTATTATTACCTTCAGAGATAGGACTAGGAGTAGATGCAGGAAACTGGTATGTAGGAGAATAAGGATTGTCTTCTGCAGCAGAGAAAAGCAGTGGATTTTGAGACTATCCACAATGAAGTGGAGGTTCTGCTTCATCCCCCAACTTCTATCACCACATGATTTTATTCCCTACTTTAATAACACTATGGTATTGTACTTTAAAAGAGATTAATGGATTAGCAAATATTTAGTTATTTTATGAATCCCATAAGAAGGTATACTGGGCATAACTGAATTTCCAGGCAGTGTAACAGAAAACTAGAACCTGAATCTAGTTATTATTAGGGCACTATAGTACAGTTAACTCAAAGCACAAGACAACAGATACTCTGACTAAACTTCTGGTACCTTCAGGTTTTTGCTGGATTTCAGGAAGTTCAGGAAATGTGTAGGTAGGGCAATAAGGGTTTTCTTCAGGATTGTCTAAGGAGAGGAACATGATTTGCAAAAAAGAACAGAGAGGACAGATTTTAAGGGGAAGAAGGGCGAGCCAAGAATCCATTCAAGTCGACTACAGTCCCTTTCATGCTGATGACACAACCTAGAATGCCTCTTTGTTTATTGCTGCCTTGCATGTCTGGGCCTTGTGAGAGATCCTGGAAGCCAAGGGGACTGAACTCATTCTCCTCCATCTGTGCATGGGTTTTAGCTGAGCTAGAGAACCTCTGTTAGGAGCAGCAGGATTAGGAAATAGCTTAACTTCTCCTCTTCCCATCCACTACAGCACAGCATTTATCTATGCATAAAGCTCATCAGGACAGCACCTGCAACAGCAAATACAGCTCCAGTTTTGCATGCTCCGCATTTTGTTCCAGAAGCACAGAATTGAGCTGCACCTGCCTGCGAGTCGGGCTGTTCAGAGGGTTCAGCTTGCAAGTGCTACTGCAGCCATTTCTCACACAGAAAAATGTGAATGTATCAGCAGTCAGGCATAGAAGTGCCCCAAGGTGGGAATCCCCTGAGAGTTCACCACTATGAAGTTTGTAAGTGCTCACAACAATTCTAGGTTTTCAAAGGAGAAAGATTAGGGTTTTGAAAAAGGAGAGTTCAGATTCTGAACTCACCAAAAATTAATGGAAACCTTTCCACTGGTTTCAGTGAACTTCAAATCATTCTTTGTTGTGCAGGTACTAAAGCTTAACAGTGTAAAAAGTTTCCTCTTATGCACAGAGAAGTTTCAGAGATAACCTACTGTATTTTAAATACAGTGGATTGCATTAGCTGGTAACACTGGAATTCAGGGATCTATTTTCTCTTAGTATGGAATTATTATCGACTTTTCTGGTCTCAAATAGTACAGTTGGTTTCATGAGGGCACTGCAGTTCACCTTTCAGAACAACTCAGACCTTTCTTTGGACTTCATTGTTCTCCTACCTTTGACTTCAAATTAATTGGTTGAGTTCTGTGGTGCAGAGCACACACTAGTTAACATAAAATACTTTTATTTAACATCCAATAAAATTCTTTATATGAATGAAACAAAATGTCATCAAGGTGACGTTTTAAAGTAAATAAAAACCATCTGTGCTACAGTACCTCTATTTAGCTTGTGGATCTGTTTGAACATTGTCTTGTACCAGTCCTTCGATCTGTCTGTATTCTGTTGGAAAAATAAATACACATAGAAATAATTAACAGTGACTCTACCAGCCTTTCAAACTTATTACAAATCTTCGAACAATGAAAAAAAATTACACTCCATGTGGGAGCTGTATCATATGAATATCCTGAAATATGAATTATTTCACTCAGATATATCACCTCATATGTTTCACTCATGTAAGTAATAATGTAAAAGCTTTGCAGAGGCAGGTTGTAACCTCTTTAGAACTGCAGATTATATGAAATGTTTTGTATATTGATCTGGTTTGACATCCAAAATTAAACAACTTCCCTGTTTTAGTCATACATACCAAATTTCTAAGTATTCAGTGGACAGTTAGAAACATTGAGTGTTTAAGTCATTCCGGAAACTAGTTGTAAGAATAGGTTAATAATTCTTTTCATAATTTCCCCTGAACACTGAATGAATGTAATCACATATAAAAGAGGTATCTGCCTCTAAGATGGCTAAAATGAGACAAATTCTCCTTCAGCCGCTAGAGGGGAAGGAAACACAGAAGCAGAAAATATTATTTTCAGGTATTATGAGAAGAAACACTAATTTTTAATTTACTTTTCCCTGAAGCAGCTGAAACAGGTCATAAATAACAAATAGAATAATTAATCATAAAATATATTGGAATTAGAATTCTATCTTCACTTAAATCTCTGCAGCTTTAATGAATTCCCTCAGTGCTTTTACCCTCAGTGGAATTCCAATGTCATCGACAGAGGTATCAGCCATGTAGTGAGGGCTCTTGGCAGTGCTTCTCTTTTCCTCCACTGCCCTCTTCTCACTTGGCACAGTCTCCTGAGCCGGCTTGTCCCGTAGAAGTGCTGAATCAACTTTATCAGAAACTAATCTGTCTGGCACTGAATCTGGAAATGACAATGGGACATTTTTACCTCATCCCAGCATTTCATAACATCACCATATTCTGCTCTTTTAAGACAAAAATTCTAGCAAGTAATTGATGAGACAGACTGTCACTGCTGGTTGTGATTAGCTGCTACACTGAAGGAAATCTTCCAAGAAAATGCCCAGTGCCAGCAACAGCGGGCAAGCATCTGAGTTAGTTATCCTCACACATCTCATGACAGTCTCAGCTGTCATAGAAGACAACAATTCTGGTTTCAACAATTGTTTCTTTTGACCAATTAGTAACTCTACAATGTCAGACTTCATCAAAAAGCAGCAGTAGTACAGTCTCCTGTACATATTTTTCTACCGATTTCAACCTAAAGGAGAATGGTATGTGGTAGTGGTGCACTACTTTTTAACAGATTGCATTCACCTGTCTGACAATCCCATTTGTTACAGACAATGTATGATGTTTCCAATTCATTTCCATGCCCTAATCAGAGTGTGTAAACAACAAATGTTGTTTAAGCATACACATGACATGATTGTACAGGAGTCTGCATAAAAATGGAGGGAAATAACTAATTTCTTCAGATTGCCTTACTTCCAAACTGGAATTCCTTGACACTGCCCAACTGAAACCCAGGGGTAGCAGCAGGCATCACCAAGGGACTTCAGGTTGTTCTGAATGTTTGCTGTGCAGAGCTGCAGTACAGCAACCCTTACACTCGGTGAAGGATTTTTTTCTATGTGGATTTCCTGCAGAGGAAACACCTGCAATTTTAGTCTGCCTCATCAAGACTTTTGGAAATCTTGTAATTTTTACATCACTGCATGCAACGAAGAGAGAAAGATATGTTTATTCACATGCACATCACCATCCTGCCCAAAGCCATTAAATGTGTAGAAATCTGATAGGGCAGACAGTGGAGGAAAGGCTCGTGCATAGCAATGCATTGATCTGTTGGTACCATAAGCAAACACAGTTCTGCCCTGCAAAACTCAGAACTAAAGGATTTGTGCTTAAAAGGTTGGTAAATTTTATGACTTAGGACAAACAGATGAGTAATTTAGGTGTTTGGTATATTTCTTTGCAGTTCCTGGGCAGTGTGTTTGCTAAAGGTACCCCACAAGCTATCAAAGCAGCAGCTTTGCTCCAGCAGAGGCAGCAGCTGGGGGGTAGCAGATCTTTCATCATACCTGCCAGGCTACTAAGCCTTTTTTGCTGTTCTGTGGTAAAGGAAGAAACAAAAGAAACACAGGACAAATGTGTGAGACATAAACAGCAAGTGCTCTGGTGCTGCATTTCTGACAGGCAAGAAATACACTGTAGAATGATAGCAGTTGCTGGAGAGAATCTGTTTTCAAATACCCTGCCAAAGTGACAGCACACAGTCCCTTCTCCACATAGCAGCCTTGTGGGATAACATAAATCTCATGATGCAGTGACCAATACATTTGCAAAGAGCACTTAAATTTTCATTTTTTTCATACAACATCAGAACATCAACATCAGAATATTTAAAGCATTGGACAGGAGACAATTTGAAAACCACTAAAAATTCACAGTCAAGCAACTTGGTAACTAACTCTGTTACCATTATCATGAAGTGTATTTTGAAATAATACTGCTGTAGCATTTCAAAGGGATATAGGAAAGGATAAAGTCATTGTTGGTACTTGCTGAGTCTCATCACATATTACTGAGCCACATATTCAGTGATTTGTGCACAGACACAGCTTGAAGGCTTTGATTCTCGAAACGGTCCCCTTGATTAGAGGCTTTTCATTAACCAGTTCCTACACTGGAGTATTTGCGGTATCTCTCAGCAGGTTTTACCACCCTAAAGTTTGTGCTTTCTAAAAGGATGTCCAAATGACTTACCCAAATCACAGCTGGGAATAAACCAAGAATGCTTAGCACTCTGCTCTCTGCTTTTTTATATTACCTAGCAATTAATTCTTTTCTTTAAAGCTTGAAAGCCATTTGAAAAGAATAAAATATTTTACTGACATAAAAAGCACAAACAGTTTTGAAAGCTCATATTGTTAGAACAAAGATTAAAAAACTTTAATATATTAAACAAACCTGTTATAAATTTATGATAAACCATGCCATGCAATGCCTGCACAGGAAATAACTGTGCTTTGAGGTGGCACAGAACACTTACCAAGCAAGTCTGCTGTAGTAACAAACCTCCAGGTGTGTGCTGTTTTCCAGAGGAACCCGCCTTCACTACATATTGGTACTAAATGGATCATCTCAGCAAGGGAGACTGGTATTTCTGCTCAGTGCAGCTCCCTCACCAATACCTCTAACTTTGATCTTTAGCCCCAGCCTTCTGCTCTGCTGCCCACTGATGGCAAGCTGCTCCTGTACATAATGTTCACCCAATAGGAAAAAAACCCCTACATGCACTGGGTAAAAGGAAGGGCCAGTGCTCTGAGCCAGAAGAATAGATGGGAACCACCTGCTGCAGGGTTCACTGGAGTAAGCAGGCCACCAGGAATAGATTGCTGCATTGTAAGAAATGCTATATTAAAAGAAATGCTGTATTATAAGAACTACAAATGAAAAATGCAACAATTCCCACCTCTGGAACTTGAGAGGAAAAAATGTAAGTGACAATGGTGTCACCAAGGAGAACTGTGTTGAATCACTGAGATCTTCTGACAAGAAAATATAGTTTAAGGAGTCAATGCTTGAGAGTTTTTTCCTATCTCTTTCCCACAGAGAAGAGAATATAATTAATTAATAGAATTTTAATGAAAAAAACTCAAAGACACGTTTTACAGGAAGGGGAGAATTCCTTTTCCCTTGTATCTCAGTGTAGGAAGGGGAGCAGCTGATGGATAGAAGCAGGAGGTGTCTGTTATTTCACTCTCCTGCCTGACCAGAGCCAGACTGTAGCCCCAGACACACACCAGCTAACTGAAGCTTTCACTTTTGATCTTGTGTTCTGGGAGTGTAAGCAAAGGCCAAAAGCTTGTAGGCTTCTCAGACAAAGGGTCAAGCAGAGAGATAAAACTGCTGGCAGAAATGAAGGAATGATTATAGATGCCCTCAGAGGTGCCTCAGAGGAGCCAGCACTGGAGGAGACTAAGAATTGAAACCAGTAAAAAAAGGGAAAGAGGAAACATTTGAGAACCTGTTTGGTGCAAAATACAGGTGTTGAAATGAAAATTTGCCAGACATAAACAAGAGGCTCTGAAATTACTTGCTTATAAGTATGAATTTTATTCAGTTGGTATTACTGAAATCCAGGAGAAAAAATTCTGAGATCTTTCATCCCAACTTACTGAGATCAAGCAGACAAGAAAGGATATAGTCTGCTTCATGTGTTTCAAATGCCATTATCTGTTTCTAAGTCTCTGATGGCTCCAAATCAACTAGCAATGAAGTAGCAAATAAAGTACTAGTAAGTAATAGTACTTTATAGTAATAGTAATAGTAAGTAGTAATAGTAAGAAGTAGGTGGTGTCTGGTACAAGAGTCACTTCAGAGAATAAGAGAGCTAACTCCTTAAAAAGCAATTAATAATCCACTGAGGAGAAAGAACATTGCATTATCCATCTGGAAGACTAAACTACTGGAGACTTCAGACTTCCAGCATTAAAGTGACCTTGAAATTTCTAATTTACAGGGTATTTCAGAGCATACAAAAGGAATTTTCACTAAACATCATCTTGACATGAAGGAATTGATTTCAGCACAAAACATAATTAACCATTCAGGGCAAGGTGGAAATTTGATATATGCCATGGGAGCAACCTAGTTTTGAATTGAACAGATCAGGTTCATAAAGATGAAACCAAATATGAATCATGTCAGCCAGAACAGAAATTCAATAGCTAGCTAAAATTTGAGAACCATTTAAAAATATTAAACAGAAAGAAATCTTAATGCTATGCTGGGATAAATCCTAGATAGGAATGGAAGCACAAGGAACTGCAGGAAACCTTCAACACAAAAAATGATGGGAAATGTGCACCTACAAGAAAGCAACATATGCTGGGAAGTGAAAGAAAATTACAGTGGAATAAAAGCATTAACAGAATGTCTCAGACTTAAAAATAGGTTTGAGGCACAAGAAGAATAAACAGAAACCCGCAATGATCTTGTTCTTTTACAAAATAGGCATGATGGTAATAAAAGGGAAGAAAAGATGATTTTCAAGATCAAAGACTGAAGCCTGTTTTTAAAAATTACCAAAATTCTCTACGAAATTCTAATTATCAAAAATCTCATGAGGGTCTGCAAAGGAGCGCATCAATGCTGTAATTAAAATGGTTACGGTATGAAAGTGCAGGCCTTGACCCTATTTTCTGATTTTATTTTTGCTTTAAGAAGGTAAGCCATAGAATATAGTGGCTAGATTCCTGGAGCTTCCCAAGTTCACTAGAAATCAAGGCAAACTGGACTGCATCTCTGTGGTCTGTTACAAGCTACGGTCTTTAGTGATGTACAACAAAATGGGAAGCTGTGGTAATGCCAGCCACCAGGAGAACTTAAAAGGGGAAGCAAAGTTTCCCTCCAAATCCAGAGGTAAAGAGATAGAACTATCTATTCAGCTTTTGTGAGAAAGGTGTTGATTCCTGGGAGTTCTCAAACACGGCTGCTTTGATCATTTGCAAATCCAGAGCTCAAGCATTACCGCAATATGAGTTTGAGTTGACCCAGTTACAGACAGGAAAAACTTGCCAAGATCAAACTTGTGGGCAAGTAGATTATTTACTATTGGGTAAATTCTGCTACAAATTCAGACATCAAATTGCTCCCACAGTAATAGAAAATACAGCTGCTTTTACACTGCAGTAGCTGGGAAGTAGCACATCACCTTTTCAAGATACCACAAGCTACCCTGTTTCTACAGACTGATCTATGGGAGCATACTACTCTTTCTACCACAACAAGACACCTGACAGCTGTTACCGTGCAATAGCTTACTCATATGTCACAGCCCAGTTAAAAACGTCTCCCCAGCCTCAAAGAGCTTCTGATCCACAGGTTTTAATTAGAAAAAACTTATCACTCTCACTTGCCTGTTGTATGCTCCAGTCACTAAGACTATTTTGAGGCAACTTGTTAGTTCTTAGTAGTCTGGACCTAATTATCAACAGCACACACATTCTCCAGTTCCTTGTAGCATAACAGTTTGTTCATTTTGAGCCAAAAATTATCTATATGCACGTCTCCTTACCTCGATTGTGCTGCAACAGGACAATAGTGGGATTGACGATTGTGGTAGAAGGATAGGCAGAGGCTGACTTGCTGATGGAGGTGATGGATGCTGGATAGTCAGTGCCAGGCTGGGGCACTTCATTTAGCACAGGACCTGGGTCCTGGAAAGAAGAGCAACACGTGATTAGCAGCATGCCAATGGTGCTACACTGGGAAAATCTGGGGAAAACCCCAACATTTTAGGCTGAATGAGAAGCATAATGACAGCTAATTTTAGTAAAAAAGGCATAAGCACAAGAACTACCCTGCTTCTTGTACATACCCTGCTCATGGTTAATGAAATTAGTTTGCTAAGGCAGTACTATAGTTATTTGGTGTTGGGTTTCACAACTCCAACCCCAAAGGAGGGCACTAAGTTCATCTAGCAGACACTTTGGAGCAAACACAAGGTGCCAGAAATTAGCAAATCCGGTTTGGGGAGGGGGGAAGATGCAGACATCTTTCCCCTGATACTTTCACACACAAACATTTGTTCCAAGAGTATTCCTTTCATAGCAAGCCAGACATGCAAAACTCATGCAATTCTGGAATGAAACAGTATTACTGCAGCTGGTTTGATAAGAAAAGTCTAAGGAATTAAGTTAGCACCATCACTCAGGAGACAATGTGATACCTACCTGATTAAAGTAATGACATAAAAAGGCCCCAAAACTGACAGAGGGTAACAAGTAGGACTCTAGTAAGGAAGATGGATTTGCTGCTGGAGCACAGGTAGCAAGCTGCTCTTGCTCTCCTAAAGCATCTAGTTCCATTACTTGCTTATTTTAAACCCACCTCTGATATCACCACAGCTCTGGCTGCTCTGTAGAAATATAGACTGTGTCTTCAGGGAGACTTTGAAACCTAGCTCACCTTTGAAAAGCTTCAGTCCATGGATATTGGACTTCTGGTGGTGGTAAGGTGGCTAAGATAAACAAGAGATGATGACTAAAGACTGTGCGTGCATCAGCTTAGACTGAGATTTTTCAAAGCTTCTTAAGGAATTTGGATACACAATTACCATTAATGGGGACTGAGTATCCAAACAAAGAGAATATGGGACAGCAAACCAAATTCCTGCACTCCTGCTGTTCCACTGCCAGACTCAAATGCTGCAATCCACTGATCTGTAAAATCAGCTGAGCATTCGGGGTATTTTCATCATTATTAAAAAACCCTGAACAAGGCCAGAATATTGCTACAGAAAAATCCCTACTTCCAGCTTTTCTGGCTAAGTGCAACTGCACCTCAGTGCCCTTCATTCACACCAGCATCAGAAGAAAGGACTTACAGCATCAGGCAGGGGACTGAACAAGGGCCAAAGTGAGGCCTGGCACCAGAGCTCAAAGATAAATCATAGTGACAGTTGGCCATAATCAGAACAAGCAACTACAGCCTCTCCAGCATGGAGGGGAAATGGGAAAGAACAATTATTCTGCAGCAGCTGGTAAGGCCATAGGCATTTCATGGGGACAGAAAAGAATCAATGGTCTTCAGGAATAGATGTCCCTTAGAGAGAGACCAGCCCCCCTTAGCTGACTGCAATAATATTCCAAGCAATTAGTAAAAAGGAGGAAGAGTCAGGGGAAAGTGTGAGAGCTGGCTTTGAGCTTTACTTTGATAAATAAAATACAGATAAGAATCCCTCAAAGAAGAAGGATGCTGGATCAGGAGAGGCTCAGCAGCCCCAGTGATGTCACCAAAGAGGGAGAACAAAGACAGTAGAAAACAGCTCACTGACTACATGCCTAAAGTGAGCATGTCCAAAAATGCTTCAACTCTCATCTCAAGAAAGTCAGGTACAGCAAAGTTTCCACTGCTCCTCTATGATTTTGATGCCTCCTGATTTTTTTTTTCTGGAATCTGCAGATAGACTCCATTAGGGAAAAAAAAACAAAAACAAAAAAACAAAAACAAAAAACCACAAAACAACTAAAAAAATCCTCCAAAACACAAACAAACAACACCAAACAAACAAAAACCAAAACACCAAATCCAAACTTTCATTCATTGCTCTCTGCAATAAAAACCCTACCAATTTTAAGAAAAAATAGAAAGGCCAATGCTGAGAACTTTTGAAAATACCATCCTTGGTTGTTTTTTACTTTCTCCCACCCCACATTCCTTTTTTGCTAGATCCCTATAGAGTCAAATGGCAGAGCAAGCACCATCATGAGAGAATGCAGTTTCTGCTGAACTTCTTCCTTGTCCTCACAAGCAAGCATAAAAAAAGGTGGCTGTAAGATTTTCAGCACGAGGAGGTGAGGGTACTTTTTGCCCTCCTCTGCAATTTTAACTGAGAGTCACTTTTCCTTCTTGTTCTCGAGGACTCTTTTAAAAGGTGATGAGCCTAAAGAGAAACAAAACCTAACTCAAGATGAACACAGTAAATTCCAAGTTCAAACTCTTGTGGACTGAATTATTCAAAATTTTCAAAGACAAGCAATTACAAAATGATGAGACACTCTCTGCCTAATGTATCGCATAGCACCTCCATGCTTGGAGGATTCTTAGTACAGTAACTGATCTTACAACTTGTAGGTCATTGGATACTGGCAGCAATCTTACACTGATTTTATCAGGGATTTGTGTGGAGACCATATGGTCCTGTGGCTCCAAGTGGAACAGAAAGCCAGCCCTAACCTTTAACTGGCCTGCTGTTGCTGCTTTAAATGTTATTCAAACACAATTAAGGATGCTATAAAAAGAGCCTGAAAGAATCAGTTAGTTGCAGCTATTCAGTTTATGCAGAATTCATTATTCTGAGCAAATCCTGTGAAGACTCTTAAGGTGTACATCACCCAGCAGAATGGGCACAAAAGGAGACAGTCAAATGCTGCAAGAAGTCAAAAGAAAGTTCAAAGCTGCACAAGGCAGGCAAACTGCATGCACTAGCACGGGACGCAAACACGGTTTCAGTTGTCATGCTGCTGGCAGGGAGTGAGTCATCACTCCACCCTCAAGTTTAGTATTGCAAGGAGAAAGTAATTTTAATCCAGGAATACAAATTTAGGAAAAGGGCGAGAAGGGTACTTGGCAAGCTTACTGTATGTGAGATGACTCCAGTGATTTCAGGCTTCAAGCCCCTGTGCAAAGCCCCCGTGACTGGAGGGACAAGTGAAGGTGGTGATGAGAAGAATGGCAGTTTCGGGTAAACAGAGGGTAATGTGCCAGATGTGGAGGGTGCTTGGTTATGGTGGGATCCCCTCTGGAGATGTGGGGGAATGAAATCGTCTAGAGTTGGAAAAGTCAAGGGTGAGCCAGGAGAAACAATCTCAGGGAATATGGAGCCTTGCCCGAAAGGAACCAGAGGCGGTGGTGGAGTGCTGGAGCTGCCTTCTTGTTGTCTGTCTGGATTAACCTGAAGGAGGGGGACTACTATAACTCCAGGCTGAGTTGAGGTGGTGGCAGTGGCATCCTGTTGGAAACAAGGTGTTGTTATGCATTGGGGGAGATTGTTACTTTAGTCTAATGCAGCCATATCGTGTCATGCAAGGAATGTACCCAAAATGATACAAAGCCCCAGAAGATCTTCTTTCCTTAAGGAGACATACTTCTTCAGGTTTATAGCCCTGGCCTCTATGAACACAACGTTTTTCCACAAAAATATTTATTCCCCCTCACCACCCCTCTTCTCCAGTTCTGTGTAGTGAGGCTAAATCAAAGAACAGCTCAGCATTCACCATGACTTGAGAAGCTCTAGCCATTATACATTACAGAGCTTGTTTCTTCTCCATGTCCCTAAAATAGAGAGATCCTCACCAGTCCAACCCAACCCCTACAAACACCACACACACATACATGAACACACAGATCAACACTGAGGGGACATATATGGGGTGTTAAATATTATCAAGTAAAAGACCACAAGACTCAGGGCAGCACAACAGGTGCTGAGAAATTAAGGTAGGAGGGGAATAAAGCATTAAGGGAACATTGCAACGAATTGAAGAACTGTTCGCTCAGCTGAAAGAAAACAAGGTTATGGAGAAAACATGTACCATGCTGCGTCCCATTGCCTTGTATGGTGGCTGTCGCTGCTGAGTAAGGTAAGGCTCTTTTCTCATCCTGTCCTCTGTGGCAGCTGTGCTCTGGGGCTCTAGCACTCTGTCCCTCACAGCTTGCGGAGCTGATGACTGAGTCCGGGAGGGCTGGCCAGCACCATAACTAACTGCGTCTTTGCTGAGAACAATGTAAAAGTACGGCCTGGGAGGAATAGGAGGAGGAGGAGCAGCAGGAAGAGACTTTTCAGTGTCTGTTACAGAGGGAACAATGTTGGTGGCTGGTGCCTGAGTGAGCTCAGCGCCCAAACTGGTGCTGGCTGCTGGGTCATGTGTGGTGCCAGTGGAATTTTGAGATGCGCCTGAGCAAGTGCTGTTAGATAAACAAGCTACATATAGTTTGCTGACCTTTTTATCCGCCTTCGTCTCATGACTGGAATTCATTCCAGCCTTACTACTGGGATCTGCCCTGACAGGGTTGCGTTGTATGGATGATGCACCCGATGAGGAGTGGCTTTCCAAGAGTGGCTGCCCAGCATGCATCTCATCTTTGGGGCCTGAAGAGGGAGAACGCCCTGCTGGCAAGCCTTGCTTCCCACTGGGGACAGCCCCATAGGGGGTAGGTGATGACAAATAACAGCGTGCACTGGTGTTTGGTGATGCACGCTGTGTGTAAGGCTTGGGTGCATTCAGGTACACACAGTCCATGATGGGCACTGGCAACAGGTTGGTTACTTTAGTGTCAGTGCGAGGACGCCATGCAAAGCTTTCCTCTTTGGGAAGAGGAGGACGGGGAGGAGCAAGGGCCTGATCAGGCAGAGTCAAGAAGGTAGGAAGAAGAGAGGAAGCAGCATCAAATGAAAGGAAAAAGGAAGGAAAAAATTAAATTCTCAGAACGAATTTGATCATTAGACTTGGGTTAAGCAGGTTTTAATACAGCAAGAATAAAAAGCAAATATAGTATCTGGAAGGCCAGTGCAGAACTCACTCACATCCATCATCCCACACATTCTTTCTTAGCACAGCCCACTGCAGCACACAAACTTAACCCGGCCCTCACGTCCCTGCCTACGTGTTTCTCTCTCTGTGCTCAATAGATCTCACTACTGTGCTGTTTCAAGAGGCCTGCACAGCAACACTCACCATGCCCCTGGGAAAGCCCCAGTCAAGATTTAACATCATGGCTAACTAAATTCAGTCTCATGCTTGCATAACAACACTTCCCAACAATGGGGACATTTGAACTGCAAAGCCAAATTCAGAGTTCTAGGCCATCTCGGCATGTTAAGTGCACTGCTGAAAAATGAATATTGCCAAGTTTCAGTAATGCTAATGAAAGCAGACATCAAGCGAGTGCAGTAGCCTACTACAGCTGGCTAGGTAAAAAGTGAGCATTTCTTCATTATAAAGGCCAGCTCTTCAATTCTCTTTAGGATTTTTCCATCCTGAAAATGCTTTCAGGCAGACCAGAAAAGTTAAGTTTCTTGAGGAACTGAGATCATCAGAATTTGCCTACAGAATCAAGATCACCAAGAGAGAAATCCTGCTTCTAGTAAATAATAAGAAAAGCTTTACTGGTTTTGGTACTTGGCAACATATAGCTCGCTAACTCCAAATCACCTACCTACTGCATCTCCAATTACAGTGAATTTTTTATAAAAGCCAAACTGTTTTGAGATAAAATAACAGTACAGAGTTTTCATTTTAGGTATTGCTTTTTTTGCCAGTAGCTGAAAACAAAGATCTACTGGAAAGAAAAGAATACCCACCTGGTGAACAACAGCTCTTTGGCTTTTTGCAAATTAACCCTTTGGAGACTGTGAAAGTAGGTTTTACAAACACCCTGTTGTCATACCTTTATAGGCAAAGGCTACCTCTACCACTGCTAAAAATGTCAAAACCAGAGAATGAAGATGCCTTAACAGCTTGCAACATTCAAATCTGGAAAAGCACGTCCTTTAAAAATCATCCATATATGACAAGTTCTGGCAAGTACCTATTCTTGTTATATGGATATAGATGTAGAAAAGTTTCATAAAATTACAGCTGCTGTTCCAAAATCTGCTGTCCTCATGCTGCCCCACTGCCCCTCCCACCCTTTCCCTGAAGCATAAGGGAGTGAAGAAGTGGGTTGCTTAGTGCTGTTCTGAAGAGCTTCTGTCTCTGAACAGGTTCATTCCTTTTGGAATTTCTTCCATTTCAGCTCAGTTTGAACAGTAGTTCTTGAGATTTCTGTAACAAGTATTATGTATGCCAGTACTCACTCTGTTCATCAACAAGATCAGGAAAGGACTACAGGACAGCTGTAAGTATAGAGCAGAAATGGGTCTCTCTTTAGGGTGCTGCTCCTTCCCACACCTTAATTTGAGCTGTTCCTTCTCCCACTTTCACTTATGGTACCTGGTCTGTAGCATTGCTAAAGGGACCCTGATGATGAGAGCAGTCACACTGATAGGGGACTGGGCTTCACACAAGAATCCAGTTTCTAATGAAGGGTTTTCTTACCAACTTCCAGAGTGTTTCTGTGCAGACTGAGCACCAAAAAAAAAAAACCAAAAAAAACCCCCAAAAAACCCAAACCAAAAACAAAAACAAACAAACAAACAAAAAAGATTATATTGCATGCATACAATGTCAGTCTGCATTCTCTCAGCAGATTGGCTTCAACAATTTACCTTCAGATAGAAATAATCTTTCCCTTTTTGGCTTTTATCAGTTACAGCGTTAAAACTGAAAGGCATTTCCCCAATATTTTATTTTAAATGTAGGGTGCAACCCTGATTTCAGCCTGCAGCAACTTCTAGGAAATAAACTAGCATAAAATACAAAATAATTACAGATTATTACTTCACCTTTCTTCTTGCAAATAGTGTTTTCCTCCTCCTTCATCCACCAAGGAAACACTGTGGTGTGCCTGAATACATGAGCTCCACAACACTTTGCTGACATTGGTGTTGCCCTCATTTTAAAGGCAGAAAAAGCTGAGGCACAGCAACTTACCCATCTGCAGTCAAGTTTGGAGTTCAGCCCAGGACTCCTGATCATGAATTCAGTGCTTGAAACCAGATGATCACCTCAGGGTCACAGAAGAAAGGCTTACCTGTGGCTTGCTGTCTGAAGAAAGGTTTGGACGCACACTCCTATAACCCTTGGCAGCCAGGGAAGATGGCTGGGCATCCCCATTGGCATCAGTGTTAGACGATGACCTCCAATCATCTGCGAGGGGAAAGAAAATTCAGATCACAGATTCCCTCCCGTAGCAGGATAAGTGAAAGGAGGGGACTCTTTTCTTCTCTTCCCCGCCACTTTCTTTCTTTCCCCCCAGGCAACAAGAAATAATTCCAATAAAGCAACAGAAGTAACAACAGAAGCAGCCAATGTTTATACCTGTTTCTGGGTTTTCTGGCTCCAGACCTAAGTGTTTCACAGAAAGGAGGGACAGAGGAGGTGGGGGTGGAGGATAGACATAGAGGAAAAGAAAGAGGGGAAAAAATAAACCATTACATTTCCAGAAAACATGTACCAATTGAAGTCAAGAGTCAAGCTACTTCATTTCACACATAAATGCTTTCTGACAGGGCTGTGTAATTACCATAGAGACCAGCCCTAAACATGATGTCCTCCTTGTTTCTGACCTTTGTAAACACAAGGCAATTCATTCAGAGCAATGAAGAAACAATTGTTCATTGACATTCTTACTTCAGAGGCAAAGAGGCTGCCCAGCTAGCTACTTTCTAAAGCTGCAGCTTGACATCCAGACACCACAAATTACTGGAAATGTAGGAACCCTGAATGCAGATTATGAAGACATAGCAATCCTTAACAATATCGCTATATGTGATTGAGATAAAGGATTACCAACAAACAGATCAAGTTTTGCAGACTAAGTGCATGAAGGGTGTAATAAGATGCAACATCACTTTACAGGCCAGTCCCTGCAGCTACCTGCAGTGGTCTCATCACATATTTACCTGCTTCCCACTGGGCTCCTCCCACCCTGTACCCATTTTGCTTTTTAAGTTATATGCACAAAGCTCTTCCAGCTCCAAAGTACATTTCATAAAGCAATTGAGAGAGTAAGCAAAAAAAGTATTAATGAACTGATTTCCATAGCAATGGACCCATTGCTATTCAGGCTGTTGGGAAGTTATGAAGCCATCAACAGAAAGGAGAGAGGCAACAGCAGGGGGTAGTAGTGAAGAAACAGAGAAAGGCAAGCATAAAAAGAGGGTAGATCATGGGTGGAGCAGAACAGGAGTATAAGAGCAGAAAGTGGCACATTAGGGCTAGGATTAATGGATTTGCCCTTTCTCCAACAATACATTCAGAAATTATGTATGCTTTGCTTTCAAGAGCACGTTTTACACCCTCGCCGTTAATGGCATCTTTCCTTTGGGAGTTCACCTCTTTGCCAGACCCACGACACTGGCCAGGTTTGCTGTGCTTTGCCTGTCTCCTACAATTAAGTAATTACACATCTGCTATTGAAAGACAGCAGAGCTCTGTGGCGACGCTGTCTGGGAGGACTCTATGCCCGTTTCCTTGACAACCCAGCTGAATGCTGCAGTGGCAGTAGCACCACTCAGCTTTTTTCTGTTCCACCTCATGCCTGGGGTGAAAAGAGATGGCACAGGCTGCCCTGAGGGCAGTGGGGGTGGTAAGGGGAAGAAAGAAAAGAACAGAGTTTTTGGTGCTGCTGACAAACTTTAGTCAATGACTGAGGGGTCATGAAACCTGCACTAGGAGTCAGTCTCTCTACTGGTGTGGTCCTTGCAAGAGGTTTCCAACTATGCTATGGAATTCTGGGCTTTAAAGCATAATTATAAAGTAAGCCCAAGATCCTGGATTGACCTGTCTTGAGGTTACTATGAGTTACAGATGCCAGTTAACCTTCCACCACTTACTTTCAGGTTGCTCAACATCCTGAGGACATGGTGAAGTGATATTCCGATTCCCTTCATAGGATGGAGTTGCCCGGAGGGTTACAGCTCCTTTTCCACTGCAGACTTTTGTGGGATCCATTTCTACAGGAAATGCACATGCAAAGAAGAAACACATAGAAAGGGATGATGCAAAGCTATCAGGAGCCATAAGAGCTCTAGAGTAATGTTAGCATGGTTGTCTCCAGGTGAATCAATCTAGTAATGTTTGTGCAGATGAAGATTAGCTCTGTATTTAAAGCATTGAGAAATCAAAGCAGTTTTATATTCATGTAATCAATGAATGTAGCAGTTAAGTTCTGAGTTGGTGCAAAGGAGGGAAGAAAAAGGAGTGTTTGAACCAAAGGTCACAGGTCCATTTGCTTTATTTGTTCTACTTTGTACAAAGATACTGTGCTAGAAAGGACAGTCTTCCATTACACCTGTAGCTCTTCTATAGGTATGTGCCAGTGTTATAATGCACACACTTTGTGTGCCAAAGCTTAAAAATGCCTTTTGTGGAGGACTGAAAGAGGAAAAAAAATACTTTTGACCACTGGAAGATAAAATCTTCTAACAATGCTGAATATGATCAAGAGGCAAGGCACTGCAAGTCACCTCCCTGCCATCTTCCCACTTCATTGCAGTGTTTCACCTTCTGACACAGGCACCCAAATCCTAGAAAGAAGGAAATTTCACACATGCCTATTCAGATCAACCTGTGATCATGATCAGACACCAGATCATGCCAGCATCCTTGCTGAGGCACAGTTCAGCACAGCTTCTGTGCAGGCTTACCTTTGTGTATTTCAGTCCATGATATGGGTTTTCTCCTCCTGTCATTCTATTAAGTAATAACAAACCAGTACTTCAAAGCTACCTCTCTTTCTCCTCCTACTTAAAAATCTTTCTGGAGAGTTGTTTCCTTTAAGATACTCTGGAAATAATAAGCCTGAAAAGTTTCTTGTTTCTCTAGGCTATTTCCATACACAAACACATCACCTCCTCTTCTCATGCACTATTAGTGACCTGCAGCTGCCATCAGACTTCGCTTACCTACACAGAGGTGCCAGCCCTACCATGACTGCACAGGGAGAGTGAAAGGTACTGAGCACATGCTGCATTACACAAGTGACAACACAATAATTTTTATTTTTATGGGTTGAGGATCATGCTGTCTCTGCATGGGGACGGATGCAGCTCTTCCCCAGGAACTGCTATTATAACAAAAATGATGCCTTCAGAATGGACAGAGGGGACAAAGGCCGTTGTTTATTGTCCAGACAACAGCCCACATTTGTGCAGATCAATATTCCCTGGCAGATTTCAGCAAGGCAATGCCCCACCAGACCCACACTAGTACAGTGCCTAGAGACCATAGTAACACCTTGGCTGAGGTTGCAAACCATGCAAACCACAGCCAGTGTGGTCACAATGTGGGGAAACATCAATATATCAGATGGACAATGGCAGTAAGAGAAGAAACTCAATGAATGCAAAATTCCTGGCTCTTCCTGAAAGCCCTCTGTGCTGGCATCTCCACTGTTGAAGCCCTTACATGGGTTTCCAATGCTTTAAGGATTTCACAAAAAGCATCATTTTAGATCCATACTTAAGACTATAAAAAGGATGGAGTAAGCAAGAAATCAGAGCATACTTTCCTATAGTTCAGCCTTTAGCTAACTGAGGCAGCATTGAGGCAGCCTCTGTGAGGAGAAAGACTATCTACCCAGACATATCAAAAGGTGTTTCATCCTTAAATATACCACAGCTGATCACAACTCAAGGTCACCCGCATCCCTGGTGAAATAAAAGTTGACTTCTCTGACTGATTTTTGCATGATTCAGGAAGGGTCAGGATTCCTTTTGCCCAAGAGTGCAGTTCTGGCTATCATTCCCATCCACATGGCACAACATGGAGCCAAGGACTCTATGGACTCACTTTCAAACCACAGGACACAGGTGTAAGCTCCAAGACTCCAGTTTTAAGACTGCTGTAACTGTAAAGCATGGACACAATGTTGGGAGTCACTAGGCCTGATATAAACATCCACAGAGAGTGCAGAGTAGCTGTCTTCCTACAACCCTATGCCTACATTTGCTTCACAGGCACTGGAGAGAAAGGGAAACAGAGCTCAACATGTATGACATGTCAAAACAGTATCTGCATCATATTGGAGAAGAATCAAATTTGGGAATCAATCATTTTTTTTTCTTTATTTTCCATACAACAGATTAAACCTGTATACTAAATCAAAATAATAAGGGTCAGAAAAAAATGCTCTGAATGAAAAAAACAATTAAATGCTTTGAAAATATTTGAAAATAAAATCTTGCCAGACTATCTCACCTTGGGAGATAAAAATCAATGTCTGGAATGATGTATTCCTTCACAAATGACAGAAAACAAGAATCTGAAACTCTCAGTATAAAAATCCAGCAGCTAGTAATAAACAGGACATTAGCACTGTACTAGTCCAACAAAGCACATGTGTGAAAGATTAGGACAGACAAGCAGTTATCAGCTACACTAGTCTGACTGTCCAGCAAAGTACAAGCATAATCTTGTAGTTCTAGTGGGAAGGCATGTGCCTGGGGAAAGGGTGACAGCCTAACATCCTTACTCACTCACATGTGGATTAAATTCAGGGCATGTACAGAAAAACAAAACCATACCACCACTGTTGAACTATGCTTGAACCATTTGTTTTCATACAGACCAAAGATATGCAGGAGACATTCTTTGGTTCTTCAGGAGTTTGGTTCAAAATGTGTCTATAATAATAATAAAACAGTATTTTTCATAATCGAGCATAAGTAGAAGAGCTTACAATGATCCCAGATTCAAGCAGACACAATTAAGTCTGCAGAAGAGCAGCATAATTGAAAACAGTGTATTGTGCCATCAAGAGCTAACTGCATTGCCTACCAATGCAATCTGCAGCTTGGGAGGAGTGAGAGGAGCATGAAGCTGAGAATTAGCCAAAGCATGTGGGTGAAGCAGAGAGACAATGATAGAGGGAGAGAGGAGAGAGACAATGATGGCTAACTAAGGCATGGCAGGGGAAGAAAGAAGATACCTGTAGGCAGCACTAGGTGAGGAGAACTTTTCACTTTCTTCACAGGGATTATTTTAACGGCAGAAATAGAACGTGT